GGAAGCGTGATCCACCAATTGTTGCAGGGACCAACAATACCCCAACGTTACTGGAGCAAGCTCAGTTTCACAGCTCCGCCTGCGACGTGGACTCAGTGGCGGTCACGAGAACTAGCAGTGCCGCAGTGAAGTCTTATTTCCGGATAGTCTAGCCCGCCAGGCTTGAATAGCAATACTTGAGCTTGGGCGAGTTGGTGATTCACACTAACACTTCACAGCGCAAGGAAACAGATGCACACTAAAATTTCAAACACTCAAACAAAGAACACTCACAATACGCTGACTCTGATCTTTCTGGTCTGTTACACTACATCACCTTTTTTTTCTATTATACACATGGAAGTAAAAAAATATGGAAGAAAAAAAAACAAGCTCTCAATGCAGTGGTAGCAGACAGCGCCCGGGACAGGGAAGCAAGATCTGACTGCAGCGCCGCTAGTTCTCGTGATCGCTACCTGGGCCACTGACCTCTGCAGGCGAGGATAGGGAGCTGCAAAACTGAGCTTGCTCTAGTAAGTTGTAACCTTGTAATACCCCACCCCCGAGCTATATATACAGAGTTTGGCCCTTCATTGGGAAGAATGGGAGTCAAATGAGGAGACCCCATTGGCCGAAAGCAGGCTGGGCATGTTCCCAGGGCGTCTTCACAAATACGAATGTGGCCAACCAGAAGCCGGAAATAATACCCTGGCGGTGGTCATGAGAAATGAAACTAATAACTGTGTCGGAGTAACTCTCGGTGACTGAAAATATGGTGCACATGATGTTTCAATTACGATCATTCAAAATCATGGTGGAAGAGCGCGACGAGCGGAACGATCGACATAATCCATACGCCAGGCGTCGAGGGCCGGAAATCTGCCGTCCGAGCGATCGCACTCTGTCTGAGCAAAACAGAGTTTGAGCGGAACATTTGTTTCTTACGTCTTTTTGTATGATCATAATCAAAACATCACATGTACCATATTTTCAACCATGACGGGTTACAACACTTAACTCTAATACGCTTATTAAAACCACATATCTGTGTTTAAAGGTGTATGGAAACGAAATTCAAGCACTCATTTTCTAGCTGAAATATGTTGCATGTTGCAGCATAAACTCAAAAGCACAAGTCTTTCGTTGAAAGACACAAGAAAACTAAATTTAAAGCTAATTAAACAATCTTCCAATGTGCACCTGGTGGATGCCTGTAAAGCTTGGTTGGGTGGTAATTAGAAAAGTTGGGGATCTTGCTATGTAGGCCATGACGTAGCAAGAACCGTTACGTAGCCGCGCTAAACATTGGAGCAGCGGCGCTCTTTGGAAGTACGCTTAACTGTTTAAAGCGGTCATGAAACAATTTTTCAACATTTTCCTTCTTAGCTTTCTTTTCAACTCTATAAATCGCGCATTGTACCAAACAGTTGAAGAGGACGGAAAGAAGGGACTCCCCTCTTGCTCGGACCTTCGTTTGTGTACCCGGACAGCGCCATTCTCCCCGCAGAAGATTTGCCCGTCGCTCAAAATGCAGACAGAAGTTGCTTTTCCCACCCTTTTCACCCCTAAGCTGACAGTGCTGTGGAAGCTATGTGCTTCATGAGCCTGCCTCACTTCTGCCACGTGATCACGCTCCCTCGCACAGAGAGTGAGGTCAGGTGATGAAAGGGAGATGGCCGATCGGTCCGGCTAGCACATAGCTTCAACCGCACTATCAGCCCAGGGGTGAAGGGAATAAGTGAGATCCAATGTCTTGTGATGTGCGTTCGGGCCGGGTGACGCGCTTTGGGTACTGCGGATGTATCGAAGGGAAAAGCAGAGAGCTTTCGAAGGAAAGGAGGTACGAAATAGTCTGCTGTGTTTTTAAATTTTCATATTAAAAAATCAGGCTTTTGACTTTCTAAGCCCACTTCAGACGGGGCAACTTTTCCAGCAATTTTGAGGTTGCTGGCGGGCTGTTCCCTAGCTTTCCCTAGATCGACGCGAATTGCTGAGATCGGGTCCGGCTCGAACAAGCGAGCAACTCTGAGCAATTCGAAGAAGTTTGAAGCGGCTGCAGCCAATGAGCGACGCAATATTTTCACGCGACACCCCTGTGGTTGTGATGATGACAGCTAAAGACCTGGTTCTGGTTTGAAACGGATCGTTTTTGGAAATAAATCTTTTGAGAAAGACGAGTTAGTATTCTTAATGCCATTAAAAGATATAAAAACATGTTTTAGCGCATAGCTGTGCGTCTAAATAGTGCAAGAAAATTCAAATTGAATGATGATGATGGCAAGTCGTAGCAATTCTGTTGCTGCGTGTGAACGCGGCCGGCCCGTGTTGCGACGTCAAGTTGCTGGGTGAAAATGCTCCGTTTGAAGCGGGCCCCACCTTCTTTTTTTTGGCCCACTAAACAATATGCTTTTAGTAAAATCCCAATCTAACTTCATTTATCCCAGCCCAAAATTTGTTTCATGACCCCTTTAAGTTGAGCGTACTTCAAAATCCCGAATTGAATACAGAGAGGGTGGTGTTGGTGTCCTCATCCTCACTTGTGTCGTTCAAGTTTATGTTCCCAAGGAAATCGTCCTGAAGCACGTGGGCATACGCGAGGAAGCACAATTACGAGGCAAAAATGTGGCAATCTCGACGAGCCCGGACTTCCTCAACACCCCCAGTTGGAATTTAGTTCAACCGGTTTATGGAACAATTCTCAGTTGAAGTGGGTCCCAGTTGCAACTGGTCCCAGCTGGAATTGGTCCCAGTTACAACTGGTCCCAGTTGGAGTTGGTCCCAGTTACCGCTGGTACCAACTCCAGCAACAATGAAACACGGCACAAAATTTGAAGGCTGACAAGACTTTATAGTCAATAACTTGGAGAATGAAACTAAATAGGTTCGGTGACGTACACGCTCCGTGTTTAGCCACTTGCTTGCGACGGTTGAATCACTTTTTCAGAGGTAGTATTCGTGAGATGAAGGAAGATCGGCCACTGGCGTCTGTTAGTGAAGACGTCCTCAGCTTCTCTCCCCCTCGCGTGAAGAAAGGTGCTCACCCATGATACCCCCCGCATTGCGCAGGTGAAGTCCTGATAGGATGCGGTAGCGCTCCCACCTTGCAATCCAACATTTCCAATTGCCTCTGTCACAACAGTCAAACACTTTCGAGGTAGACCTCCCGCCATTTTCTCCATTGTGCTCTCCGCGGCGTTTCCTCTTCCGTCCGGTCTATGTGCGTCCAGTCTTTCCTGGGTGCCCTCCGATCGCTGAACTGCATCTTTCCATCCTCGAAGTTCACCGCCACCACCATGGTGTGTGTACAGTTAGGTCCAAAAAAGCGCAGCTGTAGTTTTCACATTTTCATAACGACGCCAACTTGGGCGATGCCGGCCCTCCTCTAGTGCCTCCCTGGCCTCCCTCTACCGCGTCCGTCCGACTCCGGCGTCAGCATAGGCAGTGCCATCTGTCGACAGCGCTTAAGCGCGAAACACATGTACGACGAAACCGTCCGATCCGACGTCCGACCGCGCAATACGACGGTCAGAGGCGAGGGTTTTCAACGCTCTCCGATGCTACGAACACCCTCTCCGCCCAAGGCCATTCCGGCAGTCCGCACGTCGGATCGGAAGGTTTCGTCGTACATGTGTTTCGCGCTTTACCACTAATCCGCACCCGCGTGCCACAGCGGCCGGCTAGCTCTGATTGGCCAAAAGATAAATTTATTTCTTAAAAGAAAAAAATTACTGTAGGTATTTAAATAAATGTTTTAATATATTTTAATTATGCACTAAATGTTCATTTAAATGAACACATTTTGTCACTAATTATATTTTCCAATTAAAAAAATTTAGTTACTTAAAATTTTAGAATTTTTTTTATAAATATATAAATGTACTCAGTAATTAAAAATTCTCCTATTTGTATAAATCTAAAAATGTAAGTATTTTTAGTTTTCTTCATTAGCAAAGGTCAATACACCCCCAACTTGTCAAAACTGTTGCCCCATATAAACTGGAAATGGGAAACCATTTGAAGTCCAGCTGTCACAACGTAGCTTTTTTCCTTCGTCTCCTCCATTGATGTATACTGATGGAAATAAAACAATTATTATTATTATTACTAAGTCCGACTGGGAATCGCTCCAACCAGTTACTTCCTAACTGGACCCAGACTCGATTCCCAACTGGGAGTCAAACCAGTTGACTCCCAATTGGGAATGGTTCAAACCAGTTGTTTGACCCCTCAGCTGGTCCAAGTTGATTCCAGTTGGTAGCAGCTAGTCCCAGTTTAAAACAGTTGAGGTCAAACTGGTCGTAGTTTTACTTGGGCAAAAAACCCCTCGAGTTTCTGCTCATCAGAACTGTGGTGATGCAATATCTTTTATAAATGTATATGTGTCTTTAATTGTGCTCTTATGTAGATCTCGTGCTATCCATTCCATTCTTCCCCAAATTTTTTTTATCTGTATATATCTTCCATTTTTTGAACGAGCCACCAGTTGGACCCAGTTTATACTTAGCTGATAAGTGATTTGTTTCACGGTTTCTGTGCTTACCTAGCAGCAGCAGAACTTTTAAAATAAGGTTTTTGCAGCTCTCTGCTTTTTAAAGGCGTAAATGCCCCAGGGTTCATAGCATAACATCTGGAGAAACTTCTAGCAGATTGCTGGACAGAGAAGGTTTTCCGACTGTTCGGCCATGGAAGCACAAATATCCTTCATCACATCACATCATCAATGCACGCCAAAAGCACCCTTCAAGCTTGCCCACGAAAGCAAGGCAAGGGTCTGCGGGCACAAAGAGAGCATTAAAAATGCCGGTGTCGTCCTGCGCGCCTAGCACGTCGGACGGTTCGATCTGCATGCGAATTTCAGGTGCAACGTCGCTCCTACACAAGAAAAAACAAACGAAAAACGTGGGCGTCAGTTCAAATGCTGTGATCATGGGGCTTCTGCCACACGAGACTGGAAAATCGCAACCAGTATCGCACCACATGAAACCGGCTAGAAACGAAACCGACGAAAAACGAAACTATACCTCTCGCTTCGGAACTCCTTTGGGAATAGAAAGGCCTTGAAAGAAGGACAATAGTTGCGACTTGCTCAAGTTCCCACACCACTTCGCACCGCACTAGTGCCAAAGCATCCTCTTCGGAGAGCACCAGAACTTTCAACGCCAACTTAACGCGGACCGAGCGGACACCACTGAACGACTGAACACTCGGGAGTCGGATCATATGAGAGAGAGAGAGAGAGAAGGAGTTTGGAAAGGAAGAGATAGTCCTGTAGACTCACTCAAATGGGAGTCATGCCGGGTCATGCTAACTATCTTTGGGGGGAGGGGGAATGGGAGTGAAAGATGAGCAGAAAGAAATGAGAATTGATAGAGGTCGGGAAGCGGTCCCAGGGACTTGGGAGGGGGAGCCCGCGGAGGGCCGAGAGTACAAAACGAGCGTGTTGGTAACGGTAATTAGACATGAGGAAGATACATAGAAAGGGGGGACGGACAACGAAGACTTCCATGGAAGTCTTCGTTGTCCGTCCCCCCTTTCTATGAATCTTCCTCATGTCTAACTAGTCTAGACTTCGATCTGATAAAACCTACCGTACGGAGCGCGCGCAAGCCTGCAAGCTGCAAGGAGTCCTTCTACAATCAACCAAACCTCCTTGCAATCAACCATCCATCTCACACGTGACATGTCACGCGCACCAGTCGCCAGAGAGATCTGCGGTCACGCTGAGCACAAAATCGTTTAAACTTTTTATGACTAGGCTTCACCAATATTGCAGCGTGCGTACTTCTAACTAGAGCACTATATAGCTCCTTCTCTAACCTCCTTGGCCGAGGACGTCGGATCATATGATTAGGGGTGTCGCGAACCGGCCGAGGTCGAGTTCGACCTGGTTCGAACTTTTCGTGGAAATTTCGACGAACCTTGTACTGAGGTTCGACTCGTGTGCGCATGCGCGACAGGCTGGCCAGTTGGCTTCGGATTGGATGGTAATGGCTACTGGAAGAATTAAGGGCACCGCTGGTTGGTTATTTCAGTTAATACAGTACAAAAAAAATTAAGTTATTAACGTCTTTAGTTATTAAAAGTGGTTTCTTTTAATTCCAACTGTTCATAAAATAAAATAACCATTTGCATAAAAATAAATTCTCCAAACCTAGACTTGCGTCTATCAAGGTCTGGCCACACTGTCCGCTAAGTCGAACCTGTCGAATTTGGTGAAAAGTTCGAAGGTTCGTCGAACCGGTTCGACCCAGTCGAACCCCGAAAGTTCGACCTAAAAATCCGGATTTTGGAATACATTAATTTTAGCGCTCAAAATACAGGGACAAAGAGGCGAGAAACAGACAGCACAGTGCGCTACTAACAACTGATTTTATTACGTGAAACGACACTTTTATACCATCCGAGTTTCTGATTTTGCTCCACCACTAGCCAACCCGGTGCCAGGCCGCATCATTGAGGAACGCACGCTCCTTGTCCAGTAAATCAATTGAGGCCACGCTGACACATGCTGCACCACCCTTCCTAATCTCATCTGCCTCGATTATCTCCCTTACAGTTTTTTCCTTGTGCCGTGCCAGAATCTTGCTCCCGGAAAACAACGGCATACACTTGCATCTTTCACAATGATCAGACAGATGACCGTCCCGATAATTTCCTACTTTAAGTTTGTGCTCCCTCAGCCTATCATTAACACACCTACCTGTCTGACCTATATACTTGTTTCCGCATGATAAGGGGATCTGATATACTACTCCCTCCGCACATTCAACGAAGGGATCCCTGTGTTTTACCGCGCAGCCAGAAGGGGCCTTACAAAAAGGATCTGTCATCCTACATAATCTACTAAGTTTGTTTGGTGCGGAAAACACTACTTTCACGTTTGATCTATTGGCCACCTTTTTCAAGCCATGCGCCGTTTTGTGAATGTACGGTATCACCGCGACCTTCTGTTTATCTCTGAGAACCATTGGGCAAGGGCGATCTTCACTACGCAATCTTTTGAATACGATCTCTGCAACTGAGACCACTACATTCTTCGGGAAGCCAGCTGCCAACAACCGCCTATACTGCGTGCCCAGGCCTTCTGACATCACATGGTGGCATGATTTTTTGAGGGCGTTCAATACGCACATATTGGCAATACTCCTTTTTACCAGTTTTGAATGAGCTGAATTGTACGGCAACAGGGGTTTCTGGGCTCTAGTCTAGGGTGGTACATCCAACACACATGTCTTTCAGAAAAGGTGATACCGTACAGAAAAGGTGATACCGTACAGTATACAACTAGCCCAACGAGCCCAACAATCGACTCTACTAAAAATCCGGTTCGACAAAAGTTCGCGACACCCCTAGCCTGCATGCTCCGCCGCTTGCGGTAGCCAGAATGCATGGAAAATGGCGAACCTTTTCCTCTAGAGTTAGTTAGTATGTATGTATGATCTCTATGTTCTAGGGCGAACTTTTGTCGAACCAGATTTTTAGGTCGAGCTTTCGGTGTTCGACTGGGTCGAACCGGTCGACGAACCTTCGAACATTTCACCAGTTTCGACCGGTTCGACTTTGTGGACAGTGTGGCCAGACCTTGATACAAGCATGTCTAGGTTTGGAGAATTTTTTTTTTATGCAAAAGGTTATTTTATTGTGTGAACGACTGCAATTAAAAGAAACTAATTCTATTCACTGAAGAAGTTAATAAATTAAATTTTAGTACTGTATTGACTAAAATAGCCGATCAGCGCTGCACTTCATTCATCTCTCAGCCATTACCATCCAATCCGAAGCCAACTGGCCAGCCTGTCGCGCATGCGCACACGAGTCGAACCTCAATACAAGGTTCGACGAACTTTCCACTAAAAGTTCGAAAAAGTCGAACCTGGTCGACCTCGAACCGCGGCCGGTTCGCGACACCCCTATACTTCGTTTCAGCTTCGGTCCGAGCGTGGCCGATGTTACGAGCAAAAGGGCCAATCAAACAGCGTAAAGAGCGCAACGTCATGGCGTGCTCTCTGCGCTTGATAGGACTAGCTGGCGGAGGAGCACGCACAGAGAGACGGCGAATACCGGCTGGTCCTATCAACTGCAGAGAGCACGCCATGACGTTGTGCCTCTTTTGCTGTTTGATTGGCCCTTTGAATCATAACATCGGCCGCGCTCGGACCGAAGCTGAAACGAAGTATAGTTGTCATCCACGCGCGCGTCGAGACCGGCCGTGCATCCACTGTTGTCATCACAAAAAAACTCATGGCAGCGCCTCCTCGAGGCAACTACAGGCAACCACCAACGTTGCTCGAGGCTCATGGGATGCGTAAATGGAGCGCCTTGTGGACCGACCGTTCTTTTTCCCTCCTCAGCGGGCTTCAATGCGTTGATACTGCTGACACACGGTTCTGCACCAAGTTTCCTGGCGTTGAAGCGCCAGTCCGTAAGTAGAATTTTCCAAGGGCATAGAACGCTCATCTCATAGTCAAATGCATGTTCCAGACGACGTTTGTATGCCCCACTTTTCGGCGTTCGGAGCCATTCGCGGTTTGGCACATCTCAGCTTGGACTGTTCTGCGTGGCTCCCTCGAAACATCTAATTGTTAAATATTTTCTTACAGAACTGACGCAAGCCCTTCACCATGTTCGGGAACCAAAAAGGGTTTGGCACGGGTAGTGCCTTCGGCACAAGTATGTTTCAGACGGGGGTCTTGACGGTCCTCCGTATTACCTGTGTATTCTAAACAGTCCGGAAAATCGACCCGTTATTTCTGGTGTATGTTCTTAAATCAGGGTTGCATTTCTTTCTTTTTAAAGGTGCCTTCGGGACAACACAGCCAGCGCCGTTTGGGCAAAGTAAGTCCAGCTTTCATAGCTCCTTCCTTCCCTGTCATAATTTGGTAAACGTGGTAGCTCGGTGTTTGCAAAGGTTATTCAGTTCACCGGACGCTGTTTTTGGTGCGTAGTTTATACTCCCTTCACGCTTAAGCTGAGACTAAAAACTCCGCCTTCAGCGCGAGCTTTCTGCCCTTGCTAACACAACTGTGAACGCGCAAGCACGCGTAACCAAAGCACTGCGCAAGCCAGCGAGCTCGCGCTAAAGGGGCGGAGCTTCTAGTCTCATTTTAGGGGTTAACGGAGCATAGGGGCGTGCTCAGAACAAGCTCACATTTGGGGGCTGGTAGAGCCAGCTATGTCGGTGGTGTGGAATGCACATTGCGAGAGCCCTTGCAAGGTCGCCATGCGGACTTTCCTATTGCCTCCATGTTGCAAAACAATGAGTCATCTTGTGTTGACAAACAATGAGTCACTTTGTATTAGCCGCCTTTAAGTTTAAGTCCGTTATGCTCACACCGGAGCGGACAGGTGGCCCATTGGTTTTTATTCCTTGGAAATTCCCGACCTCTAATCCTTGTCAGACTTTATACAAGAATGTGTAGTGGCTCTCGTCGCATTGCTTCGTAACTATTAAGAGTGTCCACAAACAGTTTAGAAACAAGTTTAAAAATTTTAAATCAGGGTGCAAAGATTTTTGCGCTTTCAGTAGATATCACTTAGAATTAGCCCTTGACGTTCATAGCTTATGACAAGTGCATTAGTTATTTCTCTCCACTCATTGGCAGATACAGAAATAGAGAAGAATGGGCAGTGTTTACTCTGTCAGCTCGCAGCCAGGGCAAGCAGCCACCTAATCTGGTGTCGATTGAACGCCTCCTATGTTCATCATAGCCACGCATTGGCGTTGTCAAAGCGCTGGGCATGTGCCGAGTTCCGTACATTGTTAGAGTTTGGTTATTTCTGTCGTTCATGGCAGCGATTGGACATGAGACTCTAGCTGAACGCTCGTCCGGGCCTTGATTGTTGTGAGCACAAATTGGGCGCTTGCACAGTGCTTGTGTTCAATCTATGAGCGCCATGGTGACTTTCGTCGCCAAAGGGTAATTTCCATAACCATGTCTTGTCGGGTTTTGCATATAAAAAAAAAAAAATGGTTTTGTCGTAGAAATTACATTGCAACAAAAAGATTCGGTTCTGTGGCATTGCGTACAAGTATACTTGGGTCACACTAGTGCCAGTAGACTTTTCAAAAGGGTTTCAACCCGTACCATTGCACGTCCCTTTGAAAGTCGAGTAAGGCACATAAGTCGCATGTGCCTCATTGTTTCAGGCCGAGGCAGAAATTTCAGAACTGTGTCCTTTTGTGTGTCTCAATTGTTTCCCAGCTTTCCTATCCTCGATTCGTTTGCGTTCTTCGTGGTGCTTTAATCTTTGTTTGTTCCGTTCAACGCCTTGTAGCGAGCAGCGTGTTTGGAGGGTCGGCATTTGGGGCCACTGCTCCCAGCACCAGCGGGGGCCTGTTCGGAAACGCCGCCCAGAACACTAGCCTCTTTGGAACGACCACTTCGACATTTGGGCAGCCTGCCACTTCGGCAACCCCCGGCTTCGGTGAGGAACCCGTTTCCTCTCCCTTGTTTGGTTGACGTAAAAAAAATAAAACAGACCGAATGACGTCGAACCAGACGTGCGTGTTTGGTTGCGGTGCCCGAAACATGTCTTCGCCTTTGGTCCCTCGATTAACGCCCCTCGACTCCGCAACAAGCATATTTATAATCGCAGTAGCTTAAAAGACGCGGGGTGTGGCAGGTGTCCAGCATCCTATTGGGACTAATCACGATTCGTAATCGCGATTCGTTAAATTAAGGGATGATAATAATAAGTTTGGATTCCTGGCGGATCGGGACTTTGTATTATCCTAACGGTGCCACTGCAGCTTTGGTGCGTGCGACGCCGGCAGACGTCTGTTCTGTCATAGGTCGCTCTGCAGACAGACGCTCGACGGAAACCGTAGCACACACGAGGTGGGACGCTGCTCCGGTGGCAGCCCTTGGCGTCTGCTCGCCTTTTTCGCCAGGAATTCTGCAAGCAACCAGCAGGATTGTGATGTCTGTCAGCATGAGACGCCGGCTGCTCCGACGAAATTCGTTGCCATTCGGGCCAGTTTTTGTTGTATGGGGTGGGATAGGATGTTAAATCTGCAGTCACACTTTTAGTCTATCCTACAAAAGACATTCTCCAGACGCTGCCCGAGGCGTGCTTCGTCCCTGTACGACAATCGTGTCACGTTTGTCGTACAAAAAAGGTTGCTCCTTTGTCGTACTAGCATGGCAGAGGCAGTCGCAACGCAGAATGCAACGTGTTAGTGGGGAGAAACTGTACACGTGCGAAGATCGGTTGGCGCGAAGCGGCCCCGTGTCGTGCGAGGTGAGCGCTCCGCGAACGTGGGTGCCGTCGCCTGCGGTTGCAGTGTGAATGCGGCTTTTTCGGAGCCCGTGCGAGTACGAGGTGCAGCAGACGAAGCGTGGAGAAATCGGAACAGTACGAATGCGGCAGTGCCGAGCATGGCCCTAGCACCAGCTCGCAGCAAAAGAGAACCGTACGCTCGGAACTACCTCCATCCGTTGCGGCAAAAAGTGTGCTTTAGTATTTCTGCTTTTCTGTCGCTTGCTCTCGCGCTCTTTCCCCGGGGGAAGCTTTGGGCGTGCCCGTTCCATGGAGCAAGGCATTGCCGCACGTCTGGACACGTGATGTTTTACCCCCGCCGGAAGTAATGCGGAGGTCCTCGTGGAAGAGGTTCAACTGGCACTAGCGACCAATCGGTGAGGAGACGGGCGCTGCGTCCGCATTCAGTCGGCCCATCGACTTTCGTGTCTGGTGCCTAACCGGATACAGTTAGATGCCAGCCATATAACACATTCTGCATTAAAACTGTCTTTAGATATGTTTGAAGCGGAGATGTTCACGGAACAAATGCACTTCAAAAATGCTTGAGGTATGTGTGCAGATAATTCTGTCACGTTGGAAGCGAACACGGTGCTTTTTGTTCAGTGTATAAGCAGTGCGACTGTGGCAAAAGCAGACGGATGGGAAGGCGTTCCAGGCACCATACCGACGTTGCCGCGTTTGGTCGGCCAGTTCTGCCGACGAAACCGCCGAGTGTCGTCACCTTTGTTTCTCCGACCAGGCTTTGGGGCGCCGCAGACGAGCACGTCCATGTTTGGCGCCAGCACGCCGCAGCAGGCTCCCGGCACGGGCATGTTCGGGGCCACGTCGACGGCCTTCGGCCAGCCGCGGCCGCAGTTCGGCTCGTTTGGCGCCACCGCGACGCCGACGGGGGGCGGACTCTTCGGACAGCCCCAGAGCACGGGGCTCTTTGGCCAGACGGCTACACCCACGGCCGGGAGCGGACTCTTCGGAACGTCCGGTGAGTCTCTGTTTGAGTTCGGGTGGTCCCGTTTCGAAATGTGGTGCCACCTGGTGGCTTCAGAACTGGTTTCGCTTTCGACAGAACTAATGGCGGCCACGAAACCGTATTTCGTCGGGCACGGTTGCCTTTGCACGTCGACGCAGACGAGGATTGGTTCTTCGATCCCTTCGTAATTTTTTATTGATTTGTTTCAATTTCGATAGGATCCGTGAGCACCTCGATTAGATTTCTGTCATCGAAAAGCGTAGGAGCAAAACGTGGGACAAAAGATTGACTAAACCACACACACAAAAAAAAAGTTTTTGCAATTGTTAAATCTAATTTTTGTGCCATGTTGTACCCAAGTTTCGAATGTACAGGCCTCGCATGTCATCCGCTTGGTCGTATCTATACTTTCTTCCTTTATCGGCCTCGAGAAGCCTGCCATTAGTTAGGCACTTGTGCCGTCCACTGGGACGACTATAGTGATCGAAGTTGACAGGCAGAATTTTGAAAGTGTATATTTTGTTTCACATCAGTACAAGATCTTGGGAGCACGGAACAAGTTGTCTGGCAGTAGACGGTTTGTTGTATGTAATGACGGTGTAACAGCGCTTGATGGGGCTTTTAACGAGCAGCACTTGCCGTGGAACAATGTCCTATGTGAAATGTGGCAATACAATTGAGAATCTGTGAAAGACTTCTTGTCTTTTTCATTCATGCACCCCTTTTTTGGAGCCACTGCATCACTTCCTAGAACACTGTTAGGGCGTTGCTTGATAACAGTAATTTTGTGTACCAGCTGAGCAATTGCTCCTTGGTCCGTTTTAATTTCCCATTTTTCGGAACCTTTCGGCAGCATTCGGAGCGGGTCCTGCCACGTCGGGCACGACTATCAAGTTCAAGGCACTCACGGGGACGGACACCATGATGAAGAACGGGGTGTCGAGCACCATCAACACCTCTCACCAGTGTATCACCTGCATGAAGGAGTACGAAAACAAGAGCCTGGAGGTGCGACACTCTTTTTCTTGTCTCCGCAGCGTGTAATGGGCTACCGTCTGTTCCAGTTTGACTTAGTCGCGTTCCATTCAGAGATTCAATTGTTCACGAACTGAGTTTGGTGGACATGTCCAAAAGGGCGAATAAAATCATTGTTGCCATTTATCTAAAGCTTTATCAGAAATCGCAAGATCTGGTTTTTCGCCCTCCACAAATGGAGGGCGAAAAACCTGTCCGCGACGGAACAAAACATTATCGCCTCAGCTTTCTCACACTCTATTTAAAGCTCGGGAAGTTGCATTTTCGAACTGGGTTGCTTACATAATAATGAATTGTTATAAGCAAGCTTACTGTAATTGGTCCAAGTGTTCATAGAGCAATCAATAAAACAGAAAACCCTCTCGGAGCGGCATCCCCCCCTAGAACGTCTGCAGTCTCGGTATTCTGCAGTGCAGAACATCATCTTCTTGTCCTTCTCTCCCAAACTGCAACAGCATCAGTTGAAGGGAAGGAAGGAGAGGGGGAAAGAGAACCGTGGAGAAAGACATTGGGTGTTTGTCAGCCTTTAGAACAGGAGGAGCTGTGTGGTGTTGCTGTATATGGCGATGCCTTTCCACTGCCGATAAGTAGCGGCCTCTGGGGACGGATTTGCAGGAGCTTCGACTGGAGGACTACGCTGCCAACCGCAAGGGGGGTCAGGCAGGCATGGTGGGCTTTGGCGCGACCACCCAGCAGAGCTCCATCTTCAGCGCCCCAGTGTCCCAGCAGTCGGCGTTCAACTTCGGCGCCAACCAGAACAAGTCGCTCTTTGGCACCTCAAACACGGGTGAGACCTTGGAAATCGTTTCGGGCCGATGCTTGACAAGCGTTCCTTCTATGTATCGTCAGGGAAATAACTAACAAAAATCCAGTCAATTGTTTGGCATTTATGCTTTATTAACTTTATTGCTAAGTGTTTCGTGCCTATGTAAGCTTAGTAGCGATGCTAAAAGTGGGCATGATAACACTACCTTTTTGACGCTATGTGATCGGGAGATGTCGGACAACCAAACGGAGGAGTGCACATATCTTACCTTGCATACTGCTGGATTTCTGCTTGCTTTGGTGTGTGGTGTTCACCACTCTACCCGATTATTTCTTTGATTTTTAGTGTTGGGAAGTTTAGCCCAAGCTGTAAACACTGATACCCACTTCGATTACGACGAACGTGGTGGTACGTTTTGAGAAAGTCAGGACAGAAGATATTTTTCGTTCTTTTCACTCAAGATTTTTTCACGGCTGTAGGTGAACTCCCGATTTCCTGCAAAATCTGGATTCCTTTGGTTTTGCTGACGTTTCGGTTTGTTGCAGGCACGTTTACGTCGACGGGTGGCTCCATCTTTGGCCAGAACACGCAGACGCAGAATGTGTTTGGCAAAACGACGGGCTTCGGACTGCCCGCACAGCCGACCAGCACTGCCTTTGGCACGGGCACGGCCTTTGGCACCGGCACTTCGGTGTTTGGGCAGCCCCAGCAGAAGGTGAGGCCTTGTTCGTGTCTCGCTCTTATTACCCTTTTGTGAGGATGCATTTTAAATGAATAGCGTTTATAGGTGGCAATTCTCAGTTCTTACATGTTTTGCGACACTGTGACGTCGCATGACTCCATTACATGGGGTGCGAGTGACATGACACTGTATCACGTGATACCTTCTTCAACTCATAGTATTACATCAATGGGTGACTCAGATCTGCTAAAATAGATTTTAAAGGGCTTAAAGTTAACCTGGGATTCTTGGATTTACATTCGTCAGAAATCTTTATTTTGTAAAAAACTCTGGTGTGGAACGAAGGTTGTTTTATAAACGTTGTCTGTGTTCCGGTGCAGTCTCTGTTCGGACAGCCTGCAGCTACAGGACTGTTTGGCCAGACTGCCGCCACCACCCAAGCCTCCACCGGATTTGGAACCGGCTTTGGATCCACCTTTGGAGCGACGACGCAGGTAAGTGTCTCGTTGCCCTGTTTCCAATCAACTACAGCTTTCTGGTGGTACCTTTTGGATTCTTTCAACACCACCAATAAGCGTCCCTTTTAAGAAGTTTAGCTTTCTGCTATGCATACCATATTTTCCGAACTATACAGCCCGAACCCGGCGTGCAGTCCGCCAGGGCACATTTCGTCTCGAAATTTTTGTTTTCAAGAGTTTGTATCTGGTACATGGTCTAAACCTGGTGCAGACACCGCATCTGGTGCCAAGACCCCACGTCAAGCGTCCTTGTACACAACCCATCTTGACAAATGCCTTTTTTATTTGCTCACAAAGGTTGTGTCGTGCATTAATTGTGGCAAATATGCTTGCGTTCACAAAGTCCATTGTGTCTTGTCATAGTGAACAACCTTGCAGATTATTGTAATGTATAGTGCTCACCTGTATGTAGTCTGCACCGCATAAAATTTAACTTCCAAGCATCTTCAGTCCGTAGCATATGGTAGTTTACACATCTGGGTCAAAAACTTGGGCTTTGTTTTCTCTATCAAACCCTCTACCTCTAAACGAGTAAATAAATGAATGCTGCATCTCTCTTTCTTGCAGGCTAACGCGTTTGGGGTCAAGCAGCCATTTGGTGTAGCCACCACTTCGGCTCCGAGTGCGTTTTCCTTCGGCTCTACGGCCAACACGGGGACGTCGCTGTTCGGCGCCAAACAGCCGGCGTTCAGCTTCCAGTCCACTGCTCCGACGCCCTTCGGCACAGGCACCACCGGCTTCGGTAGGTGCCTTTCTCGTCGGGAAGTACGGTTGTCTTGGGGCTGGCTTATTTTAAGCTGGTATTTCTTCGCCTTATTTTCTTGCATTAGTCCATTGTAAATAACTTTGAATTGGCTGTACGCTACTAAAACCTTAATCATCTATTCAGCAGCACAAAGAGGAGGTTAGAAGCTGGTGGAAAAGGTGTAGGGAAGCGTGACAGCACATAACATTGGTAGTATACATGGTTTATTGAGCAACTGACTCAAGAGCAAATTTTAAAGTGGAGGAGTGTAAACGTTTATCCGGCTAGGTGGAGTAAGTTTCCAATAGAAAGGGTACAACTGATACCATCCATCCAGTTGTTTATTTCCACGAAGATTGTCTTTGTGCGCTTCCAGAGTGAGGAACTGCTTCATCACACTGAATTTTCTTGGAAACATAGCTCTGTTGCTCCGTCTCTGAACGCGCACAGGCGGCTTTTCGACCACGCCGGCCACCGGGACGGGTTTGTTTGGCGCCCCCAAGACGACCCTTTCGTTTGGCACCGGGACGACGCCAGCCTTCGGGACGACTGGCTTCGGAACGACCGGCTTCGGAGCTACGCCCCTGGGAACTGCGTCCACCGGCACCGGGCTTTTTGGAGCGAACACGGCTGCCAAGACGACGGGATTTGGGTTCGGTACCGGCACGACTGGCACATCGTTCGGTGAGTCGATCCAAATCCGTAAATGTCGGCGACGCTCGTCCCGGAGGATAAACGGCCATGTCTGCGGAGTTTCCCAAATGTGTCTTAAATACATGTCGTTTCTAGGGCCTCCTTGCACTCCTCCTTTTGTGGGCGCAGTAAGGAGGCCTGTGAAGAGCAGTTTGAAGGTTTTTCTTTAATACATAAAGCCGTCACAGTGTTGCGTGACGTTGATGTCGTCGAGGCTAGATTCCAGTACAGATGCGAAAACCCCAAGAGCTGGCCCTACAAATGCTATGGACGTATTGTCGGTGACAGGTTAAGAATTCAGGGGAAACTCTTCCCACCTCTTCCCACTTTAGCAGAGTGAACACTGGAGGGGACATCTTTTCTTCTCCAGCGTTCACTCTGCTAAAGTGGAAACAGGTGGGACGGGCTTCCTGTGATCTCCTGAGGTGAGACACTGGTGTTGGAGCTTTTTTCTTTTTTTCTTATTTAACGCTCAAACCCAATGAAACTGCACAAGCTTATTATGTTTTTTGTGCTGACTTTATATATCTGGCAATTTTCTCAGTCTGTAGAATTGTCCTCAATGTGATTAAAACTCTCCTGCCTTTGTTTGGAGGAACAATAGGGAAAAGACTACTCAACGAAATTTCTTCTTTAAGATATGGCTAGATACTGGGAATTCTACGGAACGCAGTGTTGGAAGCGTTTAAGATTAACTTATTATTGGTGGTTTTATCACACATTGAAGTTCGATGCTCACTGTGTGGCTGACAAATAATAAAAGAAAAGATAAATATAAAAATATTGGGAGCCATCTCACTCTGTGAAGGTAGATGACCAGAGAAGCTGTTTAGCACACGGCACAGACGTGACAGAAGTTTGAACAAAGGTACGATCACATTTATTATCTTGATCGGTTGGTCATCGTGGCAAAATGTACGCACGCACACGTGCCACCCGCCGCCGCCGCTGCTGACATTTTTGTTGCTGTTCCCACCGTTGCTCTTCGGGAGTCCGGTACATACAGCCTTCCCATTACGACAACTTGCCTTTCTGGTTTTTTATATACATTCGCGTGGACGACTATCGCCGCCCCCAAAGAGCCGGAGGAAACTAGACTCGGGTGATGGGACCGCCACCCCGGGAGATTGCAAGGAAAGGAAACTAGGCCCATTACAGTGGCTTAAAGGGGGTAGTGCGGTTATCGTGTAGCCTCCACCATGCATCGGGAACGGCCGCTCCTTGGAAGACGATGTAGGTGGCGCTTCGATCCGCAGCTCCGTTGGGTGCCTCAATTGGCCAGCAGATAGAGGCACCCTAACACGCTTCATAACTAATATAAATATCTCAAAAACAATTATTTGTTTCCAGCGAACCTCCAATGACATGATTTGTGTTTGAAGGTGTAGAAAAATGTGAAACTAGCAGACGACAGTGTAGTCGACAGCTGCGAATCGGCCGGAGCTGGCCAAGCGGCCGAGCCGGAGCCATAGCCGGAACAACGGTGCTGCAAGCGCCAGCGCCACCCGCGGCCATCTTCCAACGCTGTGCCGCTTCTCCGGTTTCGTTCGTTACACTACCCCCTCTAAGCCCCTGTAGCCCCACTTTCACGTCGCCAGTCGCCATTTTGCGCTCGTGAATTTGCACCTCTAATCTCGTTCGGACAAAGCTGTCTTGGACGTCATGGCCCCATCTGTTCTTCTGCCGTCGCGATGTGTCGTTAATAAGCGCAGAAAGTACTTGACCATAACGCTAGAAAAGAAGGCAGCAATTCTCAAGCTAACAGAAGGTTGCCGAACGCAAACGCAGGCGTAACCTAAAACAAGGCACGCAGGCGTAATTTTAAACAAGGCACTATTTGAACAAGGCACGCAGGCGTAATTTGAAGCAAGGTCCTGTTCTAAGTGTGCCTTCTTTTTGTCCTTGTCAAATTTGCGCTATTTTAATCATGTCTAGTAAGAACCAACTAGCCCAAACAAAAGCCGTTTTACACCATTTACATTTTTTTTAAACCCACTTGGAAGTAATAAAGGCAAGGTTTTCAATCTGCTGATTTTTTGGACTGCTTAATTATTCGGACGTTTTTTCGGTCCCTGCGAAGTCCGAATAATTGGTCGGCGACTGTAGTATCCTTACTGCAAATTTTCAACAAGTCGCAAAGTGTTTTGCGAAAACGATGTTTTAGAGTCTACTCGACACACATTCAGTGTGCATAGACATTATTAATTGATTTATACCATGTTGATTTATAATATTACTCCACAAAATTAGACACCTGGTAGATTCAGAAAAGCTAGAGCTGTGGAGGTCGACATCGCCATTTTCAAAAGAATGAAGCTTTAGGAATTTTTTGCCTCCTAAGATACATGTCACCCCTTAACCTGTCGCCGGCTATTAAAGTTTCTAGGGCACGAGTCGTCGGAGCTCATAGACGGGATACACCCAGGAAGGGTGCCAGCCGGAGAGTTGTACCCGCCATTGTGCTCCCTTTACTTTCATTATTCACGTATAAGGCACCTCATCATTGCAGTTTAAGGGAGAAGAAATGCTCAATCGGATGCAAGTGAAAGTTGGCCAGAATTTTCAACTGACGTGTGCCTCTTTACTTTGTGTGTGCAGGGTTTGGGCCCACCACCACCACAGGGACACCATTCAACTTCAGCAACACCATGCCCACGCTGGGAGGGTATGAACTGCCCAGGCTTCCCTTTCTTTTTTTTGCGAAAGTTCCGAAGGACGAATGGTTCCCCCTGTATGCTGTAGAGTGGGGTCGCGCTTTTCACTTGATGTTGTTGGGGGTCTTGTAGCTAGTCCACGCGCAGGCAGAGAAAATGACGGAACTTTAGAATAACGGAATGGCGGGACCATAAACGATGACAAAACAGTTGGTTGAACATGTTGCCGGCTTCACAGTGCACAAATAGCACGCACACCAGCATTGAGGACGAAAGAAACATACGCACTGTGCTGAGCGCAGTGTGTATGTCGCGTTTTGTCTCGAATGCTGGTGCGTGTGCTGTTTGTGTACTGTGGAGTCGGTAACACGTAAAAAGATGGAAAAGGCGTAGTTTCTGCCACGGGTTGAGTCGGGAGATGGTTGTCTCAGATTCAGATGGTTTGTACACATTGACACACGAGGACTGCAACATTGAAGACCACGATGGCAGCACGAGTGCCGTTTTTTGCGACCCGTCGTGAAGACGCCGTCGCTTCACATCCGTTGTGGGGAAACTTTCAGGTTGGACCAGAATGCGGCTAACCAGCTGCAACTTCAGCAACAGCAGGTTCAGCAGTTGTTACTCCTCACCAGCAATCCCTATGGTGACAATCCGCTCTTCAGGAATGTGATCAAGGTGAGCTTAGATGCGCTTCATCTGAAGCTAGTTGCAAAATGGCTCTATTCAGGTATGAATGCATGTCACCACAGTTCGTCCTGCTCTGCAATAGATATTGTGTAGAACTTAAAAAAGGAAAATGAATTCTCTTGAGGTAATGGCTGTGAAGTTGTTGCTACGGTTTTCGGCAGATTTGGGTTACCACGAGCACCAGGCTTTTTCCTTTCATCTCAGGGTGGAGGTTTGACATATCCTGTTTACTGGTAATCCATTGGGTAATAATGGCACTTTTGGGGCATTGCAGTGTTGAAAAGTGCAACTAATTGAAAGTGCTCTCCTTCAATTTTTTTTTTGTCAGTTTGGCGAAATAATAAAACTTCCTAAAGGTTTTTATTTTTCTCTGGCGTGATATGGGGTGTCTGACATTTCATAAAAAAATGCAAGTTATGCTTTCTATGGCCTCAAATTTCTTATTTTCTTTTTTGGTTTTTAATAAGGTGCCCGGGCAGAAAAAAAAAATGGCCAAGGCAAGTGATATATGCGACCTCCTTTCCCAGGACACCAACAAGCGGGAGGAGCTTCTGAAGCCGACCAATCCGGCGGCCCAGCAGGCCCTACTTTCGTCCCAGTACAAGGTGTCCCCGCTCCCGTCCACCAAAGTCCGTCCCAAGGCCATTGTCGGACCCCGCACAGAGGTCAGAACGCTGAGCCGTTGTCGCCACGTTTTCGTACCTTTCTTTACGTCCTGTTCCCTGTTTGTTGCCTGTCTCAGTCATGTGTGCGGTGTCTGAAATGCATCTTTGACCGGTGTTATGCCCTCCTATCCCGCCCACGCTTTGAGAGTGGACCTGAAACGTCGTCTGGCAGAAATCCAGGGACCGCGTTTGAAGACGGGGTAAACGCACAGGTCCAGGACGCGCTCTAGGCATCGTGGCGATGCAACGACTTCGTTTGAGCGGCTGGCAAAGACTCAGTTTGAGCTTCTTGTAACAGACGAGCAAGCTTCCCGCTTAAAGCGTTTGCTGCAGAGACTTTTGGTGTGTGTTTGTGTGTGTGTGTGTGTGTCTACTCAGTTTTGTGAGGCGATGCTTCTCGATTTTGGCAGGAGAAATGCCCAACATCTTTGCCTTCGAAAGGGTACGTTTGATGTGTTGGGAAAGAACGGTTGTTACAAGGAGTTCAGAGACTGCGAAGCGCCTAGGGTTGCATGCATGTCTTCTGTGCGGAAGTGCTTTAAAGCTGCGAGTTCATGGTTGTGCATCCGGAAACGTTGCACTACGTTCTGTCTCACTAGTTGGGTGCAGTACTGCAGAAGCTGCTGGCGAGAAAGGGGGGAAAGCTGCTTTCGTCCAACTTTTGAGTGACCGGCTAATCTTGGAGGTAAAAGAGTGATGTGGGGTTGCAAAAGAGGGTCTAGGTAAGAGTGGGGTTTCCTCCTTCCCTCCTCTCCAACTGCTTGCATAACGCTCTTGCCCCTGCAAAGTTAGCAATGCCACGCGCAGCTAGTGAGATAGAGCATACAAACATTTTCTTCTTAGCATACCTCTTTGTACTGAAGGAGCGTCTGCGAACGACCCTGGTCGAGTCGTGACGTCATTGCTGTCCAAGTTGCTTTGTTCGCTGCCTTGCAGGCTCACCTCCGAAGCGGGACTTGGTTGAAACGTTGCGAGACATTTTTCTACACGTTGCAAATGTTCGCAGAGGCAGGTTGCCACTCGTGGAAGTTGTGCGACCCTTTGTCGCGAGCAGTGTCTCCACGGCTTTTCCATCGCACCTACGGGTGTCAAGTGGTAGTCGGCTTTTTGGTTTTAACGCGGACAGCGTTTAAGAAGGGCTGGGATCCTCGAAGGAAGTGCAGCGGAACCCTTACGAAAACGGTTCAGAAATCTACAACAAATGCTTCAGGGGACGGCCTGTTCAAAAGAGTGGTAAATTGAATGTCGCAGAAACGGATTTTGTGTATACTTGCTTCATCTGTAGGATGAAGATAAATCAAGCATTTTTTTTTAAACTCTGAAGTGTTTCATGGTCTTTTTAAGTGCTCCTTGGGCACGTAATCTGACAACTTTTGTGCCGATCTCGACGCAGACTTCCTTCCTGTTTCACGGTCTGGACGACGAGGCGGAGGATTCGGCGGCGGACGCCATGTTTGTGCCGCGGCAGAGCATCAAGAAGCTGGTGATCAAGCCCAAGGACACTCCCGATCGGCTGCTGGGATTGGTCGGGTCGCCGCCCCCCACTTCCTCGGTCGTTTCATCGACTCCGGCCTCGAAAGTCGGCAGTGCGACGGCACGGGCCCCCCTCACCGTTCCCGTGGCAGAGAGGCAAGGACTTGTGCGGGAGATTGAAAGGAGCTCTTGCGTGCCAGGCTGGGCCCAACGTTCGGAGAGCGGCGAACTCTAACGTACTAGCACACCCGAAGCTTCGACCAGCTCAGTGCTGGGCTTAGGCCAGTATTTGTAAAGTTGCTTGTCTTCGCGTGCCTGCCTTGGTCCGGCATTCGAGGAGTGCCATACTGCTCGAGCATGCTGGCACTTTAGGCTCGAACCGATTTGATGCCAAACTTGTGCCTGTGTTCGTAAAACTGCCTTTTCTTGAACATGGAATCGAACCAGGCATGACAAAGAAAGGCATTTTTATGAACACTGGCATAATCCCTGCACAAATTTGGTGCAAGCCTGGTGCGTGCCGGTATATCTGAGTAATATTGCGCTGCGACCATCGAACGGAGCCAGCACGTATAGAGCAGGGGCCTCGAAACACGCGGGCCGCATGTGACCCGCGACTTTCTGCGAAGCGGCCCCCAAGCATAAGTTTTTGCGATCCCCCATTCCTATGCTTCGAGCACCACATGCGCCATAAATAATAGTTTGATATTGTCGATTTATTTTCGCTCGAAAAGGAACTCTGCCCATATACACCTTTTCTACGAGGGCGCCGCCATCTTCAATTCAGGAACTTCCGGTATGCGTGAAAACATTGCTTTCCTCTTGCCTCACCAGTAGAGCATGTTAACATTTTAATTGCAACCGTCATTCCTTCTAGTTATGTCCTTTCCATACTTTTCTTTCTTTTTCCGGGTTGAAATCGCTTGCTTTTTTTCGGAACGCTTACCGGATATAAGGACAACGTGGGTGGGTACGAGGCTAAACGAAAAAGGTGTATAGAGCGTTCACGCATTTTGTACTCTTCTGCTTTTTTTTTTTTTTGGACAGAGTATTGCTTTGTCTGAATACTGGCTTCTCATTATTTTCTCTTATAAATATACCGGAATGGTGGTACCACTACCGAGCTACAAGCGCGAGCTCTTTGCCCAAGGAGGCACCTTGGCTGCTCAAACCCTTGCTCCGCAGGAGAAACTGCCACAAACAAAGCTGTAAGCTCGTGCTTCTAGCCGTCGCACGATACCCTTAAAATTAAAGTATTTTCTTATAAATGCTGCTAAACAAATCAACGGGAGCACGAAATGTGCAGTGTAAAGATATAGTACTTTTCTATGCTCAATGATCCTAGTGAATTGCGCGATAGGGCAGGGATGCTGTGCTTGCTCTCGTTCTATTGAAAACTGCCAGTATTGCGGTGTGTTAATGTTTTAAATGTTATAACATTGGGTGTGGGCCTAAAGTAGTCGTAAGTATGCGAGCGAAGGCTAAGGATTGTGAGCTTGCAGAAAGCACAAGGTTCCTTGTCTAGAAAATCTCTGGGGTGTCGCTGGGACACTGGGCTGCTTTGCAGCGTGAAACACCACTGTGCGGGAATGTTCTAATCCTCTTTGCTTGCCGCAGGGTGACGGACGTGTCTTCGGAGAGAGTGAGCAGTCCGCCGACCTTGTCCCAGAAGCTCAACTTCGACGAAGTTGCGAGCTCCAAGGGAGTCTCTGTCGTGAGCCCCATGTCCGACCTGCCCAAGAGGTAACTTCCTTTTTCTTTTGTCGTGGGCGTCAAACTTTTACGGGGAGATGCCCCACACTTCAAGAAAAGGAACAACAAAGTCCCTCCTAAACTTTTTATTAAAAAATCGCAGATCTTTTTTTTTTTTTTTTTATTACGCTCGGGAAGTAAGCGTTTATTTAGCAACGTTTACCCAATTCTTCAAAATATTTCAGTTTTTTTTTTTTATTGCAACACAGATTTTTTTTTTTTTTTGTATCTTTGGATACAGAACTGTGATCTGTATAATTGTTTTAGTCTTAAAATTTCCCAAGTCGGAGAGCACATCACTTCTGTATAATCCGGAGAGATGCCCCACCCCCGAAAGATATCCCACTCCTATTAGGGGCTAGCCATGTCCGTCCGATGTCCGGCGTCGGGTGCTCGTGCTCGTGAGCACGTGAGCACGTGCTCCCGTGCTTGTGTAGGGCAAAAAAAGAAACAACCGCATCTCCACGTGGTGAATGATGTTGATTGGGGCGAAGCTCTGGTGGTGCTTGTCTGCGTAGATGCTGAGCCGCAGCATGCCGAGCCTTGCGTTCGTTTTCAACCATGTCAGAAAGAGAATGTGTGGTATGGAACGTGGTTACATACGCATTTGAGCATTTGACTGCAGCGTGACAGGGATGAAAACGAACAAAAGGCTCGGCATGCTGCGGCCTAGCGTCTAAGCAGACAAGCACCACCAGAGCTCCGCCCCAATCAACATCATTCACCACGTGGAGATGCGGTTGTTTCTTTGGCCACGATTCGCTATTGCATTTCAAAAACGCCGAAAGATGGCCCACCTCTAGTAGCTGCAAGGCTCTGCCCAACGGTGACCTTGACACAACTGGTGTCGCTAAGCCAGACCAAGAGATAAGCAGACATTGCTAACTGGGAAGGACAGTTTTCTATGCTCCATTGCCCCTTAATGTGAGGACAAGCTTAGCAGGTCACAAGAAATAAAAGTAGCGTCCTTAAAAGTTTTCTTTATCGCAGACCAAAAGTTAGTCCACTCCTCCTTTTCGCCCAATTTGTTCTAGCTTACAGGTGGGCTACCTCGGGACATTACGGTAAAGGCCGCTTCACACACTTGCTTGAAAAAGTTTTGACAATGTTATGACCGACCGTTTCTCATTAATAGTATGTACATTTGATGTCTCAACTACTGCAGAACCTTCGCTCTGGTGAAGCGCAGTTCTAGGGTCAGCTCGTAGGTGGCGCCTGTGTGCCATTGTGTTCTCTCCTCTCGTCGTAAGGGATCACGAGAACTCTGTCGTAAGCAGACGCAAGTCTGTGAACTGGCCCCAAGTCTTTCGGAGAGTCTGTGCTGTAGGATTCTCGAATTTCCTAAATGCGAGCTCCATAAATGCTGTGCATTTGGAAAGGCGCCATCTAATTACGCCTCCGTTGCGCAACATTGTAGTCGGATGAGAAACAGTTTTGTGCGGTCCCTTCGGAGTTCCGATGCGCCGTCGGACATACACCGTGTGTGCCGCTCTTCGACCGTCCTAAAAGTTCATGCAGTGTTCGTGGCCGTAGATTGCATTTCACAAATGCTAAAGTGGCCCATTCTACTTGTAGATTCCCAAAGTGCCGTAACTGCCATGTGCTTTTTGAAATTTGGCAAGAATATGCTTGTGCAGCAGCTGCGAAATAAACGCTGCACACCGAGGTCACGTCATAAAATTTTGCTGGGTTCTTAGTCCTATGGGAGTAAAAGGTAATGAAGAAGCATACAGACTCACTTGATCTTCGGGTAATGTTCCCCGATCTCCTGCGCACTCGTCTTACTGAGACTTAAAACCTTTAGTGAGCTCATCTCTTGTTTGTTGAAATGTAACAACAAAGTTTGTAGGACTAAGCCAGTCCTTCGGCCCTCTGGCCAGAAATTGTTTTTTTCTGGGTAGTGTGCCCAAATAAGCTGTCCAAAACATTGGTCGTGAATATGCACTATTTCTGTCGGGAAGGTTACGGTGTCCCTTTTAGGTCCAAAATATCAAACAAGTCCGAATTATCAGCGTCCAAAAAAATCTGTCGGCGACTGTGCATACGGTTTCTTGAGTGCGTCTCCGGCTGGTGTGTTTAGTGAGTCTTTAAAAGTGGTCCCTCCGGCTTTTGCGACGTCTTTTTCTCGCCACTTTAGGACCACTTTCGATGCAAGGGGGGGGGGAGGGGGGGTGGGACTCTAAACACGCCAGTAAGAGATGCCTTACAGGCATTGTACACCTGGGTAACCGTTCCGCCCGGCCCTTGCAGCAACCTCCAGAGCCTGGACGACACGGTCTCCTCCCTGGGCAGCTCCTCTCCACGGCGCGTCCTCTCCTTCTCCCCGAACCCGTCCGACGACTCGACGGCCAGCCACTTGGATGCGGCCGCCCCACCGGACCCGTCCCGCCCGCCCCACCCCGCAGGCATTGTGCTCACTCGGCCCGGCTACTTTACCGTCCCATCCCTCGAGGAGCTGGCGAAACTGACAGGAGCCGACGGCCGTTGCGTCGTGGACGGGTTCACGGTGGCCCGAGAGGGCTACGGCAACGCCTTCTTTCCGGGAAGGACGGACGTGACCGGGCTGAACCTCGACGAGATCGGTCAGTCGGCAGTTTTTATTAGGGCGGTGGCCGTACGCGCCTGCGAGGGCGGCGGGTTGGCGGCGCATAATTTTCGTTGGGATCTAGTCGGTCGCCTCTAGGCCAGGGGTTCTCGAATGCTGGGTTCCAATTCTTACTTGAATCAATCAGAGTTAATCTCGTGGATTGTGTCACGTGACAAGACGGAGCAACGCTGGACGTGCGTAGGTTTTAGAACGCTAAGGTGCAGAGCCTTTACCTTAGAGTGAGATTGAGTAAATTTTGGAACACGGCCAAACTCTCAGATCTCGAGGAACGCTTACCTGCCTTGACCATTGACCGAGGAACTCCTCCCGGCCTCGGTATTAATGTGGTAAAGTGGTTTAGGGGTGTACAAAGCTTGCAAGCAGTACAGTCGAGTGCGGTTGTATCAGACTCGGGTATTTTAAATGATTGTTTATATCAAACCTTCTATTCACCACGGCTACCGCTGCTATCTCGTTCGCAGAAAAGGATGATGAGCCTTCTTTTTTAATTTTTTTACGTTTGCTATATGTGGCCCGTCATTCTTTCCGTTCCAGTTCATTTCCGCCGGCGGGAGATCATCATCTACCCAGAAGACGACGACAAGCCGCCGGTTGGAGAAGGGCTCAACAGGAAGGCTCAGGTCACCCTGGACTGTGTCTGGCCCAACAGCAAGACCACTCACGAACCCATCACAGTACGTCTGGGGTGTTTGTTCCGTTTTCGAGGGTGGCTCATTTAATAATCGCTGAAATTGGTGGTACAGTTTCGTTTAACTCGTCAGACTTCAACCGTGTTCGTCAATCATATACGTGTGCGGCGTTTTCAGGATCCTGAAAAGCTGAAGCTGCTTGGCTACCAAGAGAAGCTGGAAAGGGCGACGGCGAAGATTGGCGGCCGGTTTCTCGAGTACCGTCCCGAAACCGGTTCTTGGGTGTTTGAGGTGAGCCGGAACCGTCCCCGGCACTTCGCCTGCTGGGAAATTTTTTTCTTCGTTACACAACTAGTGTCATCGATTGTTGGCCAGTTTGACGTCGTGCCCATGAAATGCAAAGCCTTTGATGTCGTGCATAAAATGCGAAAGGCTTGGGAGAACCGCGTACAGCTCTTGAGTTCTGGCCTGCTGCACGATATGGGGCATTTCAACAACTGCTTTAAGGGATGATGAAGATACAGTATGCACGATCCTGCGTATGCTGGGTTCTAACACCTGGGAAAGCTTTGCCAATGAGAATCGCTCGTTTTCTCTGTTTGTTGAGTGCTCGGGTGGTTTCTTCTGTAGGTGAAGCACTTCTCGAAGTACGGTCTCGAGGACTCCGACAACGAGGTGGATGAAGCGGCCCTCGCCGAGAGGCCGCAACAGGCTCTGCCTCCTCCCGACAGAGTTGTCAAGCCCGTCGAAATGCCCGGTGAAAAACATCAGCAGCAGGTAAGCGAATCTCGTTTTTTTCCGCGCAAATGTCTAAGGCGGACTTGCGAATGGGCAGACCGGGCAGCTGCCCAGGGTGGCAGAATTTGGGGGGCAACGAATTTCGGAGAAGGGCTAGATTTTCTAGGGACGTCTTCGTTAACTCGTTTTAGGAAGAATCAAATGGACGGTTTGGTTCGTCAACATAGGTAGCCATGTATATCAGTCAATCTGTCGCCTGTTCTTGTGTGAAGTAGATATGATAGCACTTGGTCTAGACTACGGAAGGTTGAGGCTGCTTGGAACGGAAAGGCGGGTTCAGTCTGCCGTCGGCGTGCTTGGAAAATGAAAATTAAGAAACTGTTACATTGCGCATGGAAGATCATAATTAGACTGTTTTATGGACACAAAAGTATGGTTAAAAAAGCCATGTGTGTCGCCGAGTTGGCAGCACACGTGGCTGACAAGCGGGGGCCTAAGGTTCAAACCCTGACAGCCTAGCATTTAATTTTGCTTCTGTTGCTCTCCTGTAACTTTCCAGTAGTACCTCGGAACATGCCGCCTGCTCTTGTCTAGAATGTTCTCGACGGCACACCCTCGCCGGCAACATCGAATTGCCTTTTTGTTGCTGGTGCAATATGTACGGTTTTCCCACGTTTTACTGACAGGCACAAGCTTGCCTCATTATGGTGTCCGGTACGCATTTCCGTCTGGTGTGTTTACTGCGTCCTCCCTTGTGGGCCTTCAATTTCCGTCCGACAAGTTGCACACTGTTAGCTGCCACGATCCTGGCAGTGGCACAGCAGCAGGCGCTTATGCGATAGGTGCCTGTTCTGCTGTAGGTTGCTTTGTAGCTTGTTAGTTAACGAGATTTCAGCAGGCGGGAGACGGAACGCTGCAAGGACGGTGACATACGCGTTGCTCACATTTTGCGAGATATGAGCGAACGCGAGGGGGACCCTAAGAAACCAGAATTAATTTTTTTACGAGAACATATTTATTTTTATCACAGGTTCAAATTTTAGTCACCTTCACAGCGCTCTTCGCCTGATGCAATACACCTGTCGTGACGTTTCTTGCACTGCTCAAAGTAGCCTTTAAACTCGCCGATTATTACACCTTTCGATGCTTCTGCCGCTTTTTATTTTACATCTGTCGGCAAACTGTTTAATTTTAGAAACTTGGGTGGGGCAGGTGGGTAGGGCATGGGGGTCGCGCTGTTTTAGTAAAAAACTATGGAACACTCGGCGCGGCATGGGCAGTGAACACCCCAGTTGCTTCGAGAATTGTTTGTTCACCGTGACAACACACCTGCCCACAATGCGCTGGGTGTTCACCAGTTTTTTGCCGAAAAGGATAGCATTCTCGTGCCCCACCCTTATTATACACCCGACCTCGCCTCATGCGACTTTTGTTTTGCTTCCCCAGATCAAGAAAATTTTCAGAGGAAAACAATCTATTGATGTTGAAGAGGTGAAACAAAAAGTGGCAGAAATGCTGAAAGGCATCAAATCTGGCGAGTTGAAAGGGCATTTTAGCCACTGAAAGAAGCATCTCGACGAGTGCATTGCACCGGTCTGAGAGTGCAGTGCAATCTACTTACTGTCGAGACTGGTTCTAACGAACTCAATGGGAAACGGAAATCACTTCGCTATATCTGCTATATCATTATAACCGACTTTGATTAACGAAGTGCAAAAGGGAATGGGAAATCTGGATCGCTCTGCTGTAGTTGCTATTTCGTTATAACCGGTCTCGACAGTATAACGATAATGAGAAAATTCAGAAATTTTAATCTCTATAACCGATTATCGTTAGTAATGGTACATCGTTATATGTGGCTTTGTTATAAGTGGATTGCACTGTACTTTGATAGACTCTGAAATTCAAACATGTAAAAATAAAAAAATTAATTTAAAATCGATCTTTTTTTTGGGTCCCCCCTCGTAAGGTGTGCACCAGACGAAGACTCGTTCGTGGCACAGTAGCCTCGTTACATTAATTTTCGGTTTGACACTCGTGCGGTGTCTTTATTCGCGAGAATATATGATGAACACGATCGATTGATATTTTGCAGATGGGTACCGTGGCACCCGCTGCCACCGCCGCCGGCACGGTGACCTTTCTGAGCCGCTTCGAGCCTGGAGCGGGCTACGTTCCCGAGGACGACGAGATGGAAGACCTGGAGAGATCGTTCCCCGGGCGCTCCGACAAATACGACGACGGCTCCGGTTGGTCGGCGCTTTCTCCGTCTGCGGACGTGTCCGCTCTCGGCGACCGGGTCAAGAGGGCGGCGGACTTTAACTCCGCCGAGTTCGAGCCCCGATACGAGCCTTAATTATGGTCGCCGACAGAACGAGGAAGGCAGGGGCGCGTGTTTCGAAGTGCCTGTCCTTCAGCGTGCTCCAAAGCGTCGTAGGAAGCTCGCGCCGGGGGTGGAGCAACTGAAGCTCCTGCCTCCCGGTCTCGGTGACATAGAAGTTGCGTGATCGGGACTGCAGTGTTGCTTATGCCTTGTTTCAGGTTAAGGAAAGCGGGACAAGTTCCTCCCGCGAAACCCTCCACTCTTTCCACATGAACAGGCGAACACCAGAGAGGATGCTCAAGAGAAGGCGAATCCACCCCAGCATTCGCTGTGCTAAAGTAGGGAGGGTTGTGTGCTTTGCGGGAGAAGCTAGTCCTGCTTTTCTTAGCCTACAACGCGGTGCATGGGGTCGAATTATCCGGCGGCTACAGACATGTCCGAAGGAATGCACAGAGGGTGCTCGCTGTAGTGCTGCTTGTAAGAGCGGCCTGCGACAGAGTAGAACCGTTTCGGTAAAGGTTTCTGACCTTGGATCATAGTGTTGCCCGGAGTTGTACTTTCTGGTTGCCGTGGACATGCCTGATGGCAAGTGCAGTGGGCCAGATTAGCTCATGCTGCTTGTTAAAGCGACTTGGATGGAGCAGAACTGTGTCGACAAAGTTTTCAGACATCAGTTCCGAGAGGCAGAGTAGCATTTCATAGTACTAGAGTGTTTCCTGCAGCATCTGCTGCTGCAAGCGGGCATGACCATAAAATGCTTTCTTTTTAGCAATTCTTCTAATGTTTTCGCTTTTTTTCTTGAAATTTTAATTTTTCCTTCTCCTGTATGTAATGTCCTCAAATTACCATAATAAGGGGTTTTGAATCAATAAAATAAAAAATCTGTGGGGCACTACTAAAAAAGGTTTAAGTTGTTTTAATTAGTTATAAAATAGTTTTGTTTTAAGCTTTTATCATGTTTTAAGTAGAGTTGTATACTTCCTAGATGTACAAGGCTTCAATAAACATTACCGTATTTACTCTCATAGTGAACACACTTTTTTTCCCGAAAAATTGACACATATTTGGGGAGGGGAGGGGGGGGGGTTTATTATGCGGGTAAATGTTTGCATTTATACACTTTGTGCAAATGTCATTCCGATATGACACGTAAGCTACTGTGGCACGTCTCCAATGATGGAAGTGCACCTACGGCTGGTCGGGGGTGTGCCACAGTAACCATGCTTTATAAATTGCAAACCTTGTTGGGGCACTTTTGGCCTGTCTTTTGCCGAAGGAAAAGTGCCCTACAAAGCTCACTCAGCATGGAGAGCAACGCAACCTTTCTTAGGGCTAGCCGCTTTCACGATTTCACTGCCCGAAAGTGGACCACAGACGACGGCGCGTTTGTTGACATCAATGTATCTGATAGGCGAAGAATGTCCGGGGCTGGGCAATTCCTCGACCCAAGCTTCGTCAACTGTGTGCGCCGCTCTGTTTTAAGGTTGATCACTTCCGCAACTATGTACTTGCAGCCATTATGAAAGCGGCTTGGCTTGGCTTGACTTGGCCCGACCGCTCGGCGGCAAAAGAAAATTGGCTCGGTGGCTAGCTAATTTGGACGCGATTCAAGACTCGCGGAGCTGAAAATGGGAGGTGTGTTCATTATGCGAGTAAATACGGTATTTTTAACTTGCGATTTTAACTTTTTTCGTGCCGTGGGAAAATTGGCGATTTCTGAGAGATGCACAATAAATCTTGTATTATAAGAACTAATTAGCATACGGCTCATTATGATCCATCAATATGTAGCCAATAATTTGCTCTTTAGAGGCAGGTTCACACTGCTATCTGTAAAAGCTTGTCGAACCTAATTGCTAAACTTGGAATTTGCCCGAAATTGGAAGTAAAAAATTCAACATTTGTAGCTATATTGAAACTCAGTCAAATTTAAAAAGAATAATCCTGATTATACAAAGTGTGATGCATACCCGTCACTATTACTTCTGTAACGTGGAGAGCTCTAGCTGATAACATCTTGTTTTGGTACACAGGCAGGTACGTTTCCCTGGCATTGTGCTATTCGGAGAGGTTGTTGCTTGTGAGGGTGCATGTCCTTCCGGACACCTTCTTTTGCACAAGACCTCGGTTTGTCATAGAGCTGCTCTAGCTTCTCCCCTGCTGCTATTTTACAACGATCACTGCTAAGGCCGGTTCCACATACAGCGAGCGAAGCGCTAAGTTAGCGCTACGTGAGCGCTTCATGGAGTGCTCATGTGGCGCTTCCTAGCGCGTGATGTAGCGCTCTGTTAGCACTTTGTTAGCGCTCTCACGCTCCTTGTACCGTGCTTCTGCTGTGGAATAGCGCGTGCACAGCGATTTTTTTTTTGTTTTTCCTTTGGCATTGAAAGAAGAGTAAGTAAAAGAGCCGCTGTCCAAGTGAAGGGTCGGGCAGGCGATTTAGAGTCATGAACTCTGAGCGACTAATTGATTGGGTACAACCACATCGCTTTCTAATTGATATGCGTGACCCTGGTTTCAAAGACACGCAGTTAAAAATAATCGCCTTCGAAAGAGCTCTGTGAAAGAGCGCTACTGGAGCGCTAACACGGCACTACTGAAGCACTAACACGGCACTACTGAAGTGCTAACAAGGCGCTACCGGAGCGCTAACGAGGCGCTACCGGAGCGCTAACAAGGCGCTACCGGAGCGCTAACAAGGCGCTACGAGAGCGCTAACAAAGCGCTACCAAAGTGCTAATCGCGCGCTATATTAGAACGAAGTCACGCGCTAGGAAGCACCACATGAGCGCTCCTTCGAGCGCTCGCGTAGCGCTAACTTAGCGCTCCACTGTATGTGTGAACAGGCCTTTATGGGTGTAGGTCGTGCTGCCTACCCAGAAACGGGAATTTGTCGCCGATTTTTAAGTTTGTCTTTTGGCCCACAGGGCTGTCCTTCGAGCCCACGCCCCCAGCTACCCAACGGCTTGCCGAAGTTCTCGGCGTAAGCACGGAGAGCGTGCAAGGAATGAAGGCCTCCTTCTTCCACGCGGATATGGGTGACATGGACGACGAAGACATTGGTGAGCTTGCCTGCCGCGTTTTTTAACGGAACCAAACCACATCTTGGATGTTTGCTCTTTATTTTTTTTTATCGAATCCAATGGCACTGCACAAGCTTGTTCAGCTTCTTTTGTGCCAGATTTCGGATATCTGGTCCTTTTGTCGATCGGTAGATCAGTCCCCCAGATAATTCGAAAGCACCTGCCTTCGTTAGCGAGAACAATAGGAAAAAAAACGGCTGAACAAAGAATTATGCTTAATACATGGCTAGATGCTAGGAAGCATAAAGATTACAATGTTAGAAGTACTTTTGAGATTGAACCTTTATTAATGATTCTGCAACAGATCGAAGTTTGGTGTTTTGTGTGGCCATTAAACCAAAAATGCCTTGAAAATCTTTTTAGATTTATATTGAAGAATCTGGTCTCGGGCACTGTATGATTCACGTCTTTAGCTGCATGTTGCAAAGCAAGTTACATTTCCCTGGATGGTGAGATATCCTTCCTGCAAATTTCAAGTCCAGAATTTGCGTTATGAAAAACCATTCTTCTGCGTCAGCTTCAAGGCAAACTTTGCCTGCATAAATATTATAAATTGAGGTTGTGGCACGAATATTAGTCTATAAAATTTAAAAAAACTTGGTAGATCAGAAGCATGATAGCTATAGATTTCAAAATCACCGTTTCCAAAACAACTTTTTAGGCGTCTTTTTTTTTTTTTTGGCACCAAAGACTGCCAGCAGCTTCCTTGTTCTCCAAGTGTTCCTTTCTCTGAAAGGGATACCGAATTTTAGAGCAATACTTGCATCGCAAGTCAAGGAATTCCAAAAGGTGCTCCTATTTCAAGACGTCTCCGAAACGGAAGCACGCTATGTAACCGCGCACGTGTGTCTCATAACGTCAGTATTGTGCTAAGGTGTTTTTTTTTGGAGGGGAAAGCTTGCTTTGTGACATGCGTTCTGTCCGGACGCTTAAAAAATAAACGTTTTCCGAGTTCAGCGATTTTCCGGCAGTTTTACGGGCCACCCCAACGAAGCACATTTTTGGTATAGACGCTTTGCACACGCGCCAGATTGAGCCGCCATAGCTGACCTTCTCCTGTTTTACCGAGATGCCGAGCCACCGAAGCGGGCGTTTATGGGCCTCCAAAGAGGTCTATGATGAGGAAAAGGACTCAGTAGCACCTAAAGTCGCAATAACCTGTTCTGCTGTGATAATGATGACGTGAAGCGAACGGAATAAGAGGAAACAAAAACTGAAGGTCGCTTATGGCGGCGCCCATGCACAGCTGCTGCAAAGTGTCTATACCCAGACTTCACTGTTTTCCTGCAAGGTATTTATAACCTCTAAATTCGAAATGGCCATTGAGAAAACGGCAAGTGAAGGTAATGCCAAAACCGGCGTTCAACTTCGCCCTGCACTCTCTGGTGGGGGTGACATATAAGGTTGTACAGCTTGCAAGTCGAGCGGGCAGTCTACAAAATTCAGTGTTTAAGCTTTTTTTTTTCTTTCTCATTTTCTTAATATTAACTTTACACCATCACAGCCCGTCCGGAACAAACTAGTTCTTCATATTGCCCCATATTACACCATTCGAAGTCGGGTTTTAAGTGTTTCCAGGAGAGCTTCTCAGTGTCTCAGACCAAAATAAAAACTTTAATTACTTTGCGAAAAACAGTTGTTGTGATTTGCAATTTGGGTTACTACACTTCCTTTCACCTTACGTCCCGATGCAGCCGACGCTACGAGGCAATAGGACCAATCAAGCAGCGTCAAGAGTGCGAGTCTCTAAGCCTTTTCTGTCTATGATCTGTTCAGCGATGATGGAACACGTACAGAAGCGTGACGAACACCACAATGGTACGCTTTTGACGCTGTCCTTCTTGCCCCATCAGCTTGTGGCGTCGGCTGCGTCTGGGCTTCAGGTGAAACAAACTGTAGTTTAGGTGTGTTGAACCAATTTTGGGGTGAATCGGTGACAGTCAAATTTTCGCCTGAGCTCACCTTGAGGGTTCTTGCCTTGCTTTCTCCTCCCTCTTAGAACTGTCCTTCTCGCACCCGAGACTGAAGCGGGCCCTGGTCAGCAACAGGGAGGTCAGGTCTCCCATTCCCAAGCACCCCGAGGGTATGTCCCGTTGCATGCTTCCTCTCCGCACATTCTTGCTGGACCGCATTTGCGGTGCAGTGCTTCAAGTGTAGTGCAGTGGCTTCTGCTGCATTCCGTTCTCTGGCTAAATCTTGAATCGTGTTATAATTCAGGACCTGCTGTGTTGTGGGCATTCAGAATGTTTGCTTCTAAGTGTACTAGCAATGAAGGTAAAAGCTTGTGATCCATGCAGAATGCGGCAGTTATCCCGACCATGAACATAGGCACTTGTTCGCAAACTATACTTAAAGACCTGCTCGGATAGACCAACTGGGATAGACCTCGGACAGACCTATCTTGGACATACCTATAGACTTATCTTGCATACATCTATCTTGGATAGACCTATCTTGGATAGACCTATCTTGGATAGACCTATCTTGGATTGACCTATCTTGGATTGACCTATCTTGGATTGACCTATCTTGGATTGACCTATCTTGGATTGACCTATCTTGGATTGACCTATCTTGGATTGACCTATCTTGGATTGACCTATCTTGGATTGACCTATCTTGGATAGATCTGTCTTGGATAGGCCTACTTTGAATAAACCTTTTTGGATTGGCCAATCTCTGATACGAAAATCGGATTGGTAAATCTCGGAGACGAAAATCGGATTGGTAAATCTCGGAGATTAAAATCGGATTGGTAAATCTCGAATAGGAAAATCGGATTGGTAAATCTCGGATAGGAAAATCTTGATTGACCAGTCTTGGATAGGAAAATCTTGATTGGCCAGTCTTGGATAGGAAAATATTTGATTGGCCAATCTTGGATAGGAAAAGCTTTGGTTGGCCAATCTTGGATAGGAAAAGCTTTTGCAATCTCGGATAGGGAAATCGCTGATTGACCAATCTCTGATAGGGTAATTTCCTGTTGACCACCTACCCCCCCCCTATCTCGGATAGAAAAATCTTTGGTTGACCGATCTTGCATAGGAAAATCTCTGGTTGGCCAATCTTGAATAGGCAGACCGTGATAGACACTCCACAGTCTGGGCTTGCCCCTGTACGAGCTCAACGAGGAACTTTCACCACAATGCCGCAGGTCCCCGTCCGGAGCCTGCGGCAGCCCCGAGGTTGAGGCGCTTCTCCGGGCAGCGCCCAAGGCCCCCTTCTCCGGACCCCTTGGCTTCACGGGTCCTTCTGCCGTCGTCGTCTGCCACGTCGGCGTCCCGGGAGGCGACGGCCATGCTGGACGTGCCGCCGATGCCGCTGGTGCTGGTGGAGCCGGTGCCACTGGTCCAGTCCTTCATGTACGAGTCCCAGCACCTGCTGGGGGACATTGCCTGCACCATGGGCTACCGTTTCCGGTGCGGCTGGGGGCCGCGGTGGTCCCTCCTGCACCTGGGGTCCCCTCTGAACGGGACGTCAGACAACGGTAATTTTCTACTTCATATTTTTTTTTTATTTTGACTGTGAAAACTGGTTCGCACACTTGCATTTGCTTAGGGCCGTGCTCGTGCGATCTCCTAAGACGTGAAAATGCGTCGGCACGCTGGCGCAGTCCACGAGGCGACCTTGGAACTGTATTTAACTAGAGCAAAGGTTTTGCGGTATTTGAGAGTTCAAATGTACATACTATCCATCGGAAACAGTCGTTTATGACATTGTCAAAAGGTTGTTAATTGCAAGTTGAAGATTGCAAGGAAGTCAATGACACTTAAGCACAAATGTGTGAACCAGCATTAATGCTGGGGTGTTTTTCGACGCGGGATTGTTGCCGTTGTTCCACTGGAGTTTGAAAGCAGAGCCGGGAAGAGTTTGTCTTATAGTTGCCGTTTGGGGTTCCACCACATTGTTTTGCCCCTGATCCTTCGATGCTTCTCCCTCTCTAAAAAAAAAAAAAATCCTTTGAATTGCAAGCATGCAAAAAGGCTCGCAACGACCCACAACGTCGCTGCCGCTTCTGGAAATTGTCTCGGAATGTTGACGTCGGAATGTTGGTGTCTACATGTGTGCCTTATTTTCAAAGATGGTGAGGGGCACATTTCTGAATCGGCTTTTTTGCATTGTCTGACACGTAACGACAAGACCCAACGTCTGACCGGGGTCAGGCATCGTGTAGCGGAACATCCATATGTTGAGGTATTCAGCGTTGCGGCAGAAGTTGGTCAGCCCCAGCAGGCATCCGCCATTCATGGGGAATTTAGCCAGTGCAGTACTACTGCTAGCTCGGGGCCTTTATTGTGCATCACACAGTGGCGATGCACGGCAACGTGCCGGTACGCAGCTAGTGATCGAAAGGGGCGGGGGTGGGGATTGAACAAAGGATCTCTGGGTTCTGCAGTACGAGCATTCGCTCCATGTGCTCACACCTGCGGTGTGCCGACACACTCGCCCATCAATGCCCCCCGTCCTAGTTTTTGCAATATGCCACAGTTTCAAAGATACGGAGAGTCTGAAATGGAAAAATGGAAAGTCCTGCTGTCTAGCTGGAGTCTCGCATCATGAAGGTGAACATTCGTATTAATGGGTAGAAACTCGCGTCCATTTCTTATCGGCTTGTATAAAATTTAATAGAACTTGCAATTCAATTCAAATTATGTTTACGTAGCTTGTCTGCACGTACAACCCGACTACAAGTATGTACTTGGTTTTCATGTAACCTAATTAGTTTCGTAAATATGAAAAGTTTTATCTGCAAAGAACATGGGAAGGATTGAGACAAAATTAAATACTGAAATCGGATAATAAATATGGCTCGGTAAACTGAAGGGTCTAGAACCCGGTAGGGTGTAAATGATTACTTTAGAATGATTTACTAAATTTTTACTCATTTGAATTTTCTAATTTTAAAATTATTTATTGCGGGAAGTATGAGACATCTAAAAAAACATGTCACATTTAACGTAATCATACCCCTTATTGCATATCTTGCAAATGCATCTACCAGGGAAAGGAAAGGATTAGATAGGTGCAAGTGGGTAGGTGGCACACATAAAAGAGCAAATTGTGTCAATAGTTTGTTCTGAAACATAGCAAAAAACATACACAGCCTCATTTTACTATGAATTAAGGTTAGTATTTTAGCATAAGAGACCTTTTTGTTTTTACCAAAATGCTTCAGGACAATGTGATTAAGTGCCTGTCAATCTTCAATTTCTTTTGTTTCTAGTTTTTTTTTCAAAGTGTCAGTGTCTTCTCTTAATGTTCCGCAGATACTTCCCAGAGACCAGCGCTCGGTTTTTTGTCGGGCACGCAATTCTCGGCGGGCTCTACGGCTTACGTCGTTTCCCTAGAGCGAGTCGCCGTCAGCCACGAGGTCCCAGCTTCCGACGACGTCCAGAAGGTAGGGCCAGCACTTGTTCCTCCGCAGGGGTTGTATTTTTTTTACTTGCATTCGTCGAGAGAGTACTGTAATAACTGCAATTCACAGGTTTTCGAACTGGCTTCCTAGGAACACGGGTTCCCCATAGTGCCCCCAGTAATTCCCCATAGCACCCCCAGGAATTCCCTATAGCACCCCAGGGGGTTTCCCATGGCACCCCCAAGGGTTCTCCATAGCACTTCCGGGGGTTTCCCATGGCACCCCCAAGGGTTCTCCATAGCACCCCCGGGGGTTCCCCAAAGCACCCCCTGGGGGCTCCCCAAAGCACCCCCTGGGGGCTCCCCAAAGCACCCCCTGGGAGCTCCCTGTAGCACCCCCCTGGGGTTTGCCCACAGCACCCCCTGGGAGTTCCCCATAGTGCCCCCGGGAGTTCCCCTCAGCACCCCCGGGGTTTTCCATAGCACCCCCATGGGTGCTATGGAAAACTCCCAAATTTTTAAACCAAGACAGTTAAGAAGGTTTGGGAGCGCGGGCTTTAAGTGCTTAAGCTGGGCTTAAGCACTTCAAGTCATTCGGCACAGGCTTAGGCATTCGCACCGATTGGTCGCAAGTGCACATGCGCTACATTGCCACGTGGCAAAGAGGAAAGCAGGCAGAAAGGCAGAGACATTTGCAGACAACGCTTTCGTCGCCTGCTTGCAGCTCATGTTGCAAACATGGCCCATAAACCACGTGAACCCAATCAGGCATCTGGAAACTCTCTTCACACTCTTTAGATTTTTTCTGCACATACCAAGTGCAAGTTTTGGTGTCGGTGAGACTGTAGCATGCTTTGTGAATATTTATCGATCACACACAGTTCTATGGGCAAAAAGTCTGCGTGCCTCCAGACTAAGGCAGTTTTTCCAGTATCTCGTACTTCTCGAGGCGTGGCACTATGTAGTGGTACCTCGACCTCACACCCCGAGGTAACTATTTGGAACTGAATTTCTTCTGTTCGGTAGTCGAATACAGAGTTCATTAGTAATTCCTAGATCTCTGTGTTTGCCGTGAACCACGAGATTGAAATGCATAGATTTGCCATTTTGTAACAACGAACAGCATTGTAACGAACAGCATTGTAACCACGAAAATTGACACTACGATATAAAAATTGTCTGCTACGGGTAAAACAACAATGACAGCCCAGTTGGGAGAAGCTAGAAGCAAACCAATGGTTTAGGCGTGGCACTCAAAATTGTGATCAAGAATCGCTAAAACTGCTTTTTCTTTTTTTTGTCGTATCCAGAGAAACCTGACTGCAATGTTGGAGGTGCAGTTGGCCCACTCCCTGTCCTCAGTGGAAGTGGGCAGCCCCGTCTTTGTGCCCAAGCCGGGGGTCAAAGCTCTGCACGCCCTGAACGATCTGGTGTCGCGGCTTTTTGCGGAAATGGGCACGTCTCCTCTTCTTCTCTTCCTTGTAGACCTACGAGGGTCAGTTGAGAAGTACAGTCCCTTTACTTCTCAACTGGCCCTCGTTTTATTTTTATTTTTTTTTATGAGGAGGTCGACAAGCAGTGTAGTGTTGGTGTTTGTGAAGGTGATGCATCCCCATGTCTCAACCTGCGGTCGGATTGTCAGAGTCTTTGGCGTTTCGTCGCGGCGAGCGAAGGCACCTCATTAGTGTCGTCGTGGCGGGCGATGAGGACATGCTTGTGAGAGTACGGCAGAGGCGCGTGATTGAATAGTTTTAGTAAATCGTTCAGACTGCTTTGCCAAAGATGCTTGATACTCTGCTGCTTTCTATGTGCGTGCATCGTGCTGTTATCGGGTATCGTTATCCGGTGTATTGGAGGTATGGGAACGATAGACTAAACTCTCTAATGTTGTGTTGACCTTTATTGAGTGGTAATTGCACTGTAATGCTCTCCATATAGATGCTTTACACACGCGCCAAATTACAGCCGCCATTGCTGACCTTCTCTTGTCTTACCGAGATGCCGAGCAACTGAAACGGTACTTGACGATCCTCTACAAAGGCCGATGCTTTAGAAAAGGACACAGTTGAGTCTAATATGGCAATAACCTGGCCTGCTATAGTAATGATGAAGTGAAATAAACGAAACAAGAGGAAACAAAAACTGAAGGTCAGTTATGGCGGCGTCCATGCACAGCTGCTGCAAAGCGTCTATAGGCCGGGCTCATTGCCGTGCATGTTATGGGCATTTTCAACACTGAAAAAAAAGAAGAAATTAGCATGAAAGGAAGTTCCCTTTATATGATGAAGCGAAGAAAGTTCCAGCTGGAACGCTGAAAGGGATGTTGCACTGCATTCTTTTATGTTTCTAAGTTTTCTAAACATACTACCTCTTTTTTTTTTTTAATGTGAAGGATGCTACTTTGAAAAGGAAAAACGATCAAAGCCTGAAAAGTCGTCATATTCGGTTTCTTAACTTCTTTATTTGCCCTAGTACATGTCTTAAGGGGGGACACTACCTGTGATTGTCAACATTTGAACCGCTCACTCAATCAGCGTAATATTTGCAGGCAGTGTTTTTAGCCACATAGAAAGAGGGCATGCAAAGTTTCATCCGTGTTAACCGATTTTTGAAGTACTATACCCCCCTGAACGAAGTAAAGCATAGCTTTGCATGGAATCTGCCCAATGAACCAATCATTGAGAAATGGTGTTGATAACCACATATTTTTCTGGTGCAATGCTGGAATACTGGTTGCCGGTTATTATAAGAAGAAATGTAAAAAATTAATTTTTTAGGTAAAAAAATTACAAAAGAATTGCATCATTTACCAAGTTTTGCAAATTACACTTTTTCATAATAAAAGAACATGAAAAAGCAAAGTCTAAGTTTCATAGTGACCGGCTCCATAAAATTTTGTTATATAAGCCGCATATATTAAGCCTCGATAGTTTCATACTGAAACAATAGTTAAAGTACAATTTACGCCAAAAAGTGGAACGGAGAACAACTCATTCAAAGTGCTTGAACCTCTACCTTTTCTTTAGCATCAATGGACCGAAAATAATTTAAAAAACAACTATGCAGTTTAAACACATAAAACTTTCTGGGAATACTCTAGAGATGTTGGTGGATGTAAATATAACATTTTCCCGGGGATGGGCAGTATTTCAAATACAAGTATCTGAAATACGTATTTCAAATACTTTGTGCATTTTGCGTTTGTATTTAATTACAAATTGGGTAATGTATTTGGCATGCGTATTTAAATACTAAAACGTGGGTATTTCAAATACAATTGTAATTAAATACAATTTTGTGGGCGAAAATACATCCCTCAAATTTATTGTCACTGTCCAGAGCAGGAAGAAAACTACCTTCAGCACCGAATGTAGTGTCTCTCAATCAAGCACAAGCGTTTAGTGACTTTGTGATTACGATGCTAGTCGAGGGCAAGAATAGTTACGAAATCGACGTTCACAGGCAGACTGGCTAAATAAGTGCCTGTGACAACTTGTGATGCTTTCCAGCCTGATTTCCATCCATATTTTTGCCTGGAACGTTCTAAATGAGCAGGTCGTCCAGATTTTCGTAACTGGTGCGAGTTGCAACAATAAAAAACTCTAGACTAGTTCTGCGCGTCTTGGTCGTCTCGGTTCTTTTTTTGGTCTATACCAAAATGTAACCGACGAGAAAAAGCTGCTTGAAGCTCTGTACTTTTTTCACCCATTACGTCCAAGCTGATTACATTTTTTTGTGATTATATTTCTACTACGTTACTAGAGCTTCGCACACTAACTCTCGAGTGTGCGATGCAAAATTAAAATGGGATACCCGGAATCCCGTTGCAGGTGCCCTGAGGTCGTTGACTCAAATTTTGAGGAATGTATTTGGAAAAGTATTTGGGGGAGACCAAATACATTTGGTTGTATTTGTATCTTGTACTTAAATGCTTTTTTGAAAAGGTAATTAGATTTGTAATTAAATACATTTTTGACTAAGTATTTTGTATTTGTATTTCGATACATATTTGCATGTATTTTGCCCATCCCTGCATTTTCCAAAATCACCTTTTTTTGCAGAAATTTCCGAGTAGTGTCCCCCTTCAAGTGTGTGGTATTTATAGGGCCAGCTTCGAGGTTTTGTGCATCGTTTGCCGATGTGGCCTCGGTGTCAGGTGACACAGGGATGTCGTCCCAAAAGGGCCTTTAAATGCATAGCATTTGTAGGTTAAAAATGCGAGTTGGGCTAGTTGGTACTTATGCATGGTGAAAATACGCCTACAAAACACAGGCAAAGAAAGAAGCACACAGGACGAGGCACACCGTGTGCTGCTTTCTTTGTCCGTGTTTTTTAGGCGTATTTTCCGCCATGCATTTGTAGGTCCTCTTGGCTGTTGCATGGCACCAGCAGCTTTATGTAATCCTTGAAATGTACCCTTCAGTGGTTTCCTTACTGTGCTCCCGAATGAAGGAGCATGAGGAGTCCTTAGAAGTGCTACGCGTATAAGAACCCTTTTGCAAATGCTGAAGAGACAAGCCAATTTTTTCCGCCATTGCCCGATTTATTATGGGACATCCGCGATCTGCTGCGCAATACAAATCCCTGCCGAGGTGCCTGCATTTTGACAGAGGCTTATTGCGAAAAAGCACCATGTAACGGAGCGGTCGATTGCATGTCAGAAGATCCCCAGGTGGTCCAAATTAATCCTCAGTCCTCCGCTGGGGCGTGCCAGATGCCCTTCTTAGATTTTGGCACGTAAAACCCCCAAATTTGATTTGATTTGTTACGTGCGAAAGAGAATTTTAAGAGAATATAATGGAATGGGAGATTGGGTAGTCATACTGTTCCGATAATTTTGAATATTAATAATTTTTACAGAAGGGAAAAGGTGGATTGGGAAAGGCTGCGTCATTCCGAATTCGTCAATTAATTGTACGATCGACCAGGTTTTTTTTGTTTTTTTCTTTCCACGAGGGAGGCAAGAATGGGAGCAAGAAGGGGAGCGACGGCGATTAGATCATTGTGCGCCGGCACAATGCTCATGCTCATGCTGTGCATTGGCACGCCAGATCACTGAACTGCCCCATGCTTAACGAGTATTTACCATTGGGTTGACTTGTGCCATGCTTTGGCTCCCTGTGTGTGCGTTTGGGGTGCACAAGGAATTGAAGCTTTACCAGATGTACGAAGCTCATGCAAGGGGTTGTACAACCGAAGTGAAGGTAGCGAAGCGAGGGATGTTGGCTTTCTTTCCCCGTTGCGGTAATCTGATGGTGAATGAACACCGCCTCGCCTGCCATCGATTGATTGGGCTTGCCTCTGGCAACAGAACCCAGTCACACCGACCGGCCGATGATGCAGCAACTTCATCGCATCCTGGGCCTTTGTGTGGCTCTTTGGGGGAAGACGCCTGGCTGCAATCCCGATGAAGGTGACCATTTTGCAAGCTCGTTGGCCTACTTTTATTAAGCAGCCGTCCTGTGCGCTTTCATAGAGTATTCCAATAATCCCTTTCCGTGCGCTTCCATCTCTGTCATCTGTGCTGTGGATTGCGTTCTGAACATGCGCAGTAGCTCTTTTCAGCTCAACATTGGATGCCGTGCATGCGACCGCAGCGCAGCTACTCGGCGTTTTTCACTCAAGCGGGAGGTGGAGTGGTGTATATGAAGAGGGGGTGTGGTGAATATAAATTTTCTAATACAAATTGAATATGAATATTTGAAAAATAAAAATAGCTTCGAATATTGAATATGTTTTGAATATGAATGTACCATTAAGAAAAAAAGATGCAAGTACTTCTTTTATTACCTTGAAAACCAAAAATTATGGTAACAAATTCAAGTAAATGAAACTACCTGAGTAGGCAGCATATAAACAATGCAACTAGTAACACAGCTTGACTAGTAATCACCCGTCAACTGTACATGAAAGCAGGCGAAAGGTGCAACTGATTAGGTATACAAATTGACAAAATTAAGAGTGTACAAAAGTGCACATGTCCAGATAGAATGTAAAAATGCAACCTATGTCACAAACAACTGGTAGTGACATTGTTTTAAGAATATAATCGAAATTTCCCTTGGCTAGCCAGCAAGTTAGATATGAGCTGCTGATGCAATTACTTCAAATTGTCATGTAAAAATTAATTGCTCCGCATGTTCAGTATATAAACACTCTCTTTTTGTAGTGACAATTGCTCCTGCAGCAGAATATACCCTTGCTCGTGTAACAGAAATTATAAGGTCCCTAGAAAAGTGACTCACAGTGCAGGCTTGGCAAAACAAAAACCAAAACTGCTTTTTTGTCGTGACCTAATACATACCTGTGTGCATGATTCTGATGCACAGTTTCTTTTCGCTGAAATCTCTGCCCAAAAATGCATTAGCATTACATTCGAAATTAGAAACCGAAACTTTGGACTGACAACGGCTACAATCTGTTCCGTGAGATGAGGTATGTGTTCAACCTTCATTATTTTACTTGCGCAGTGGAATCGGTACCAATTTACATTTTGAATATCTGGGAGCTAAATCTGCCTGCTTGTTAGATTTGAGTGCGGGTTAGAATTGTGCAAACACGGTAGGTCTACGTATGGCGTAACTGGCGAGGGTTCATAGAAAAATGGCTGCAACTCCTGCAATTTAGGCGGCTAAACACGGCTTTGATCAAAGCTCTGAATGTTCAGGGCATGTCCTGCGCATGGATTATTCGCTATTTGCTCGAATATTCGTACTTTGCCCCAATATTCGGAAATTTCTGAATATGCAATTCTCGATTCGAATCGAATAAGAAAAATATTCTATACATATTCAAAATTTTGAATATTCGCACACCCCTAATATGAAGCGATTGTCTCCAAATCGTAAAAAGAGCTTGTAATTAAAAACTGATTGGAGATGAGCAAAGTAGAGTATTGTGTAGTGTTGTGCGAATATTCGAATTTTCAAATAGTAGTTTTGAATAAAACACTATTCAATATTCGCTTGAAGGTGAACTGCGGTTTTTGATATTTTTCTAACCGTTGATCGCGTTAGGCTACTCCCATTGAGCACACTGCTCAATGGGAGTAGCCTAACGCTCCAATGCAGCTCCAATGCACTGCGGAGAAGCAACACCCGCAGAGCTCGCATCCGTGGGTGTTGCTTCTGTCCAGTGCACCGGTGTTCGGTAAGAAGCACGCTCAATAAGGCTAAGACTCGAGGTTTATGCTTCGAAAAGTACAAATATTGCAGCAGCATGCTCAAAGAGGGCACACTTTCAAAGCGGGGTGGTGCTCATGCACATAAAGTGTATTAAGGAAAAAAGAAAAGCTTTGTGAATGTTCTACATTGTAGTGGATTTTCCAGAATTCATCTGGGTATTATGCACAAGTGTATATGTTAGACAGAGGTGCCCTGACAACTTGCCTTAATCATTCGTGACTAGAAAAAGATTATTTCTATTGCAGCAATATTTTCAGTTCCCCTCGGTTAAGTTTAGCTGGGCATCTCATAGGTTTATTTTCATGTCACATGTGTTGTTTGCTTGCCAAGCCAAGTAGGCATTGAACTTTATGGTGATACAGTCAATAAATATAGCTAGGTCAAAATTCATTTAGCTTCAAAATAGACAAGTGGAAGCTTGGAAACAACCTACAGGAGTTTTTGCTGGGTCTTCATAAGCAGGGTGCAGTAGTGAAAGGCTTGGAGGAGCTACTCAATATTCAATTCGAAAATATTTGGTCAAAACCACTGTTTGCTTTGAATTTGCTTCAAACTCAAAATTCACTAGTCACACACAACTAGCATTGCATGATGTGCCTGCAACGGCTATAAGTATGTTTTAATTGAGCTTAACATTTGAAAAACTTTTGAACTGCTAGCCAAAATTGGGGAAATGTTTTGGTATGTGTAGATGATTCATGAAGCAGGCCTGACCAGTAATTTTGATTACTACAGGCCGTATTCTCATTAAAATGCAAACGGAATTCAACGTTTGTAATGATTGAGGGTCTTGTGCGGTCGGCGAGAGCTTGCGGCACTTGCTGTTAAGAAAGCTGGGACACGGCAGGGCACGTTTAATTATGTTCACGCACATAATCGAACGTCCCCCGAATTCCTACATTATTGTAGTGAACCTATAAATGCTATTAATTAAGTCTTTGGAGTATACCAAAGAACCGTGCAGTATTTCTAATGTTTGTTGTCTTGGATATTTGCTTCTGCTAGTTTTTGTTTTCTTGCGAAATATTTACCACACTTCGGTCGATGCATAGTGTGGGGAGTGAGACACCCTAATACCGTCTCAAGGCTACAGGGCGCCTCTTGACACAGTAACCAATTACCGAGGAACCGCCACCTTTTCGTGCAGACGACACCCGTACCTACGCCTACATGAAGGCGAGGAAGGAGGCCTTTTCCGACTGGCTCGTCCAGACGACCAAGCAGACCGTCGACAGCGAGGTGACAGACGCCCAGCAGCGGGTACGTTACCGTCGAGGGACCAGTCGCGAAAGATTTTGTGCAGGGCTGCCAAATCTGGAGTGTCGCTTTCCGTTTGTGTTAAAAGGCCTCCGACGGAGTATTAACGCGTACCAAGGTAGGTTTTGACGGAAACGCAACCTGCAAGGGTCCACTCTTGTCAAGGAAGTTGTTGCGACTCAAGATCTGGCTTTTTGTGCACAAAAACCGCTATTCGGGAGCCGTCTGCACTCTACCCTCGGAGAGCGGGAGAGCAGCCGGCTCCCAGCTAGCGGTTCTTGTGTGGGAAAAACCCAATTTTGAGTTGCAATAATCTTTTATTGTAGGTAGTGCAGTTCTTTCAACCAAACATGTTTTTTTTTTCTGGAATTTGTGGTTTTGAAAAGCTAGAGGAAGCAAAGGTAGAGCAAAACCTAACCAACCTTCTTTGGCATGAGTCTCGGTGTCTTGTTTGGCAGTACTAAGTTGTTAAACAAGTGCCAAAGTTAGGTTTTGCTGCTTGGTAGCTTACTACATCTGACACCTTTCTGCTAAAATACTGCTGATACCTAATACAAATATAAACAATATTTGTAAAAAGATAAAAAAAAAAAAAAATGGCCGTACAAGTGCCATAGTTTTGTTCACTTTTCATGTGGCAACCATGGGCCTAAGTTGCCAGACAAGTGCCAGATTTGGGCTTCACTGCTGGTTCTTTGGTTGGCACCTTGCATCTTTGGCCGAAGTCTGGCACTCGGGCAATTATGTGGCGATTCCGGAAAAAGCCAAAGAACAGTACTTTGGCACTAATTAAGGGGGGGACACTGGCTAGAGATTTACCTCTGAACAACTCAAGTGATCGGAATTAAATTCGTAAGTACAGCATATATGCCATTTTACGAATGCTGATAGTGATCACAGGGGCCAGACTGAATTTTGGAAAAGGTCTGTTCGCCGAGTATTACTTTTTTTTTTGCTTGGCGTTGCAGGAAGGGGGCTACCTGAAGGCGTTGATGAGCCACCTGAGCGGGCACGACGTGAGCAAGGCGTGCAGCATGGCCTGGAGGATGCGGGACTACCGCCTGGGCATGTTAGTGGCGCAGGGCGGCTACAGCCTGCTCACCCGGGGAATGCTGCAGAAGCAGCTCGACCACTGGCGCAAGTTCAAGGTGTGCTTCGAGCCGTCTCCGGCGCCGCTGGGGTGCCTCAAACGTGCCACTTGAGTTTGCGTGAAAAGGAACCCCCCTCTCAACACATTCTTGACACGTCTCCGGCGACACCGGATGTCTACAGCCTCTGGCGAAATTTTGATGGTCGCTGATTTGCCTCGAAATAGCTTGAATGCATTAATAGACTTGCTGAACTAATAATCTATATTACGAGTCTCGATAAAGTTTTTTGCAAAGTTGTTGACTTTAATTATGGCCGAGAGGCTCTATTGGCGACACTGAAGATGCGGCGTCAGTAGTTGCAATTTCGGCCGAATTCGGGCAGCACGTATTGTTCCCGACGGGTTACGGACGCTGGCGAAATTTGTGCCAGAAGAATGAAAAGTGCGCAAAGGGCCATTTTTTTTAGATTGCCTACTCAACTTGCAAGTTACGCAACACGTGACATTGCCCTACTCGAGATTGCGAGAAAGCCTGAATGTTGGTTTTAGCATAACTTTCATTTGGCATTTTCTTAGTAGCTATTTTGAATTTGAAGATAATAAATGGCATGTCGGGAAGCCTGTGTATTCTGAAAATGTTTAGGAGCTCCCCTTCAAAAAGCATAGGAGCCGAAATGGATGAGCCACGTCTTTTCGCTTCACGCATAGCGCGTAAGAAAACTTTGTTCCGTAAGTATGGGATGTGCAGTTTCTTGCTCTGCAAGCTGCACCTGGTGTGCGCTTTGCGTCGAGTTTCACGCTGTGTCGTCTTCATTCAGCATGACCGGCACATCGAGGACGAGCGTCTCCGAGTCTACGCATTGTTGGCCGGCCTGATGATCTGGCCGTCTTCGGAGAAGACCATCAACTGCTGCGCCGACCTCGACTGGAAGCGGGCTCTCGCTCTGCACTTGTGGTGAGCACTTGCAAGTCAAATAACTTTTATTCGTGTTTGAATAGAGATAAAAACGCTGCGTAACGTGTAACTCATCTGTATCCGTGGCCGATTTAACTATTCTTGGATCCATTGAATAACGAGCGTGATTATGAATGCGTGATTGTATACTAGAGCTAAGCTCTTTCCTAGCTTAGCTCCGTCCTGTGCCGTCGCTTGCTTGCATGGATTGAGCACACGCCCGCTGGGCCCACTTTCCGCAATATGCGATCCGTTGAAACTTAATCTGCTATTTGCCCATCATATCAATGTAGAGTTGTCTAAGAGATGCAATGACTGCTTCACTTTCTTTAATGTTGTTGCTTAGAGCATTCCATATTTTAGTTCCCGTACACTGAATCATGCAATGTTCATTTGCATTGTGAGATAGTGGAACTATGTGATGTTGCACTGTCCTTGCTGCAACTCGGATCACTGCTGGTCAAAATGCTCAACATTTTGAATACATTCGATACTCAATGTCCCCGAGTCACTGGAATGTAGATACCAACATTCCTGAAGTTTCTCTTTCTTTTTAGGTACATCAGGCGCTCGTGGTGCACCGTTCAGCTTTGGAAATGAGCTTTCCTCCTAAGCACGCAGCTGATATCTTCATTATTTTTCAAAGCGTTGATCACGGCAGGTTAGCCCCGTTGAGTGCGCTTCACACCGAGGACCGATGCACTGTGGAGAAGCCAGACCCACGGAAACAAGCTCCGTGGGTGTTGCTTCCCCGCAGTGCACCGGTGCTCGGTAAGAAGCGCTCTCAATGGGGCTAACCTGCTGCGATCAACGCTCCGAAAAATATGAATATCGCGGTTCTTCCGGAGCGAATATTGAAAAGCCTATTATTCGAAGCCACTATTTGAAAATTAGAATATTTGCACAACACTAGGAAATAGGCAAGTCAGAGAGAAACATGCGACTAGTTGGGCGCCGTGCTATCAAAGCCATGGGAGGGAGGGAGAGAAGCCGCTTTTGTATGGATTAATGAGTGACAGGCTAATCTTCAAGGACAAAAGCATTGTCTGGGACATGCGGAAGGGGTCCGGGCAATGGGGGAGTTTCTCTTTCCCCTCTTCACCAACTACTCTTGTTGCGCTCTCGCTCTGTACCTTTGGTAAGGGCTGTCGTGTGCTTTCCCTTCGTCGCTCCAATTGGTTCTAGGGGGTCATAGCGTTTGCTCTTTGCGAAGTAACGGTGAAACGAGGTATATGTAGTTGGCCGTTTTTTTTCATTTATGCAGGTACCACTGCTCTCCCACGGGTAGCATTCACGATGCAGTTGCCGCGTACGAGGCTGCCTTTCAGGTGAGTTTTGGTCACCGTTTCGCCTCGGGGGCACCGATCATTGCACAAATTCGTCACAAAAACATGCATGCAGTTTGCACCCTTTTGTTTAGGGTACTTTGCAAAGTTTAGGTCGGGCTTGAAACATTTCGAAAAGAACTTCCACGTAAATTTTTGTGACTCGGAAACTTTGGGGCTTTATTTGCTCAACATAATTGTCGGCAGTAATTGGCACGACCGACAAAGTGCCGATTTCCTTAGCGAGGCGGTTTTAGCGGGCATTTTTGATCGAAGTCGGCGCCGTGAGGAATGGTAAGCACCGCAGGTGACGGAATGTCAAGACTGAAGCATCTCCGGTTTGCTCGGGTTGTGTAGGACAACGGGGCGCAGCATCCGTACGCGGTACCCCCGTACCCTCCCTACTACGACGTGTTCGAGGAGCCGTTCTCCCTGGACGGGGAGCGGTCGGACGCGCCCCACGACACCTGCTTCCACCTGCTGAAGCTGTACTGCGACCGGTCGCAGCGCCTGGACCGGCTCCTGGATCCGGTCACTTCCGTGCCCTCGCACCTCGACTACAGGATCAGGTGAGCTCTCGGTGATGGGCCACTTCCCCAGCAATGGGGCGGCTTCTTTTAGAGGGCAACCCCGGTCGATATTTTTGATTCTGGGATTGCAGTCGCCGACCAATTTTTCCGAGTTCGCAAGAACCGAAGAAACGTTGGAATAATGGAGCAGTTAGAAAAATCGGTAGATGGGAAAACTTGCCTTTATTACGTCTAAGCGGGCTTAAAAGCAAACCCATCCATTGTGCCTTGCTTCAAGCGACGCCTCCACTTGCGTTCGTCCACTTTCTATTAGCTTGAAAATCACTGCCGCCTTTTTTAACATTGTGGTCGAGTACTCTCCGCGCGGCTTAACGACGCTTCGTGGCGGCGGGAAAAGTGATGGTGCCCCGAAAACAGAATTCACCGAGATGGTTCTTCCTCTATGGGGTAATGCCTGTCACTTCCCGCTCTTGCTCACATCCTATCCCAGCGATTCCGGCCAGCAGTGCACGCGAAGCCGCTCACGCAGCTTTTCATGCTCTTCCGGGGGGCGTCTTCAAAATTAAATATCGGATGTAAGGTGTGAATCGGGAATAAAACTTTCACTGTACGTGAGGGAAATGAAAATTATAAGTTAGAAAGAAAAAGAAACTGTGGTCAGTTTTGTTTGCGACAGCGTTAAAAAAACTGCACTGACGCAGTGGTTTGATTTACTGCTGCAAGTTACTTAAAGATGATTTAATGGCACAAACAGAGTTCTAAAAATAAGTTATTCCAATCAAATTAGTTGAGCTTCATGAACTTTATAGACAAGGCTTTTGCATCACAAAGTTTTACCACGTCCGGATTCTCATCCGTGATGGCAGCTGCGTAACCACATAGTTCCTAGGCAGGGGCTTCACGAACTTTGTGCAGTCTACTTACTGCCTGTCACCTTGTTTGCATGTCAAAATGAGGAGGTTCATAGTGACTTGCACAGTGCTTTCCATGCTGGTTTGCAGGAGTTTCACAACATTCTTTTTGTGCTGCCATATAATATCCGCAAAACTCTTCAGTGCTATAAAGGCCCGTTCACACTCTTGCGACTGCTTGCGACCTCTTAAACCTGGGTTCCTTAAAACTTCTTAAACCAGAGAACACACTGGCGCCATCTATTGGGAAGCAGTGTAAACTCGGCGGTCCGGCATTTTTTTTTTTTATTTCTCGCGCAATATCCTTTCTTTTTTGGCTCGAAAAACTTTTGTCAATGTTATAAACGAGCCTTTCTATGGGTATTACGCACATTTGACCTCGGAAATCCCGCAAAACCTTCGCTTTTGTGAAATGCAGTTCTAGGGTCACCGCGTAGATGGCGCCACAATGTCAGTGTGTTCCCTCATTCTAGAAACATTTAAGAAGTTGTAAGAGATCTCGTCTCACTCAGTCGTACTCGGTCGCAAGAGTGTGAACGGGCCTTAAGGGTAGTGATGAGCTCATCCGTTAAAGACATGCAAGCATTGCTAGGGCATCATGCCCGCAATTGTAGCTGCGGTTTCGCCCACAGACCGCACTTGTGGCAGGTCGCAAGATTCTCTCGCTGGCCGCAATCAGCCCGTGGGCTGCCGGTTGCCGACACCAGAGCTAGACAGTTCACGGAAACTGCGGCACCCAGAAGTTGGAAAGGCTCAACAACTCGCAATCGCCTCTTTTTTTTTAAATTATGCTTGTTTGTTTTTTGTTTTCCGCAGTTGGCTTCTACACAAGCAGCTCCTGTCGTTCGGCTACCCGGACCTCCCGCGTCCGGCCACGATCCACACGTCGTTTGCGTCTCAGCTCGAGGCCGTGGGAATGTGGCCCTGGGCCGCCTTTGCCCTGCTCCACCTCGAAGACCCCGCGAGCCGCCACAGCGCCGTGTCGGAGCTGCTGATGCGTCATGTGACGGGCACGCGCGACGGTTGCGACCCGACCACGGCGCTCTCGGAAGACGAGAGCTTCCTGCACGAGCGTCTGCATGTGCCCCTCCCTTGGATCTACAGAGCAAAGGTCAGTGCTTAGTTGTTCGTAAGCACTCTTCTTTATCGAGTTTATAGAGTTGCAGTCGCCCAAGTTCAAAGTTGGTTGAGATACAAGCACATTTAGGTTCTTGCAAATGTGTCTAATAGGGATAGCTGCTCGTTAAAAATGGCTTGGTTCTGTTTTGGTTGCTTTTGAAGTGTTTTCTGAGGCCAAGGTGTGCTGGTTATTGCTGACCAGTGGTTCAGTTCAATGGACAAGATGGCCGCAAATTAAGTGCAAAAGACTAGGGCAAGGACACAAATGCAGCATTTTTGTCTTTCTTTTCTTTCTTTTTTGCGCTGAATTTGCTGTCGTGGATTACCGGCTAGCCCAATTCTCAACTCTACGTAAAATACCGTACATCCGCCCATACCACACTTAGCGCCCATTCCCAAAACTGATATTTCTATGATTTCCATTGCCTTTCCATCTCTGCTATGTCCACGAGTTCGGTAATTTTACACGGCCTCAGCTCACGCTATAATAGTAATTTTTTTTCTTTTTGAGAGCATCAAACTTTGCACTTGCATTATATTCGTGGTTGCGATATATTCGTGCAAATATGAAAACTGGCCGTCCATTCTGGTCGCTTCCCAGGCCATTCGCGCAGGTGCAGAGGACAACTTCCACGACCAGGCGGTCTTCCAGATCAAGGGAGGGATGTGGAGCGATGCCCACCAGACGGTTATGCAGCATCTCGCCACGGACGCCGTCATCGACGGTACGTCTTGGAGAGTAACCTTCTCTGATCACATTATAGAAACGACTAAAAAAAAGTGCGGAATGAGCAGAAGAGACGCACAAACGGGAGAAAATGGCGCTGCTTCTGTGTGTTTTGCGCCATTTCTGCAATGTGTTCGAATACCAACTGACCCAACTCTCGACGTTACCTTTCTCGGCATTGTAGCAATAGTAGAGCGGAAGCCCAGTGACTCGTGAAATTCCGCACGGACCAAGGCGTACCTGGATCGCAGTTTTGCTTCAATGCACGGTTCACATATGCTAAAGTGGTTCTTAAAGTGATAACAATTATTTTGCTTTATGCACTGCTTGGGTATATGCATACCAGACTCCAGGGCACATTGAGGACACTGGCGCTGCATTAGCGTTTGGCCAAGACGCATAAACGCAGGTTTCGGCCAAATACAAATGCAGAGCTTGCATCCAGTGTGTTACCCGCACTGACCAGAAATTGGCGAAATAAAACATACGGCACTACAGCCTTGCTATTTAGGAAACGTTGGGATAATCTACTCGGTGACAAGGGCAGTCCAAAGAATTTGGGGTGCTCGATGACCCCTTTAGGGTACCCTGGGGAAAATCTCTGGTTCCCTAGGAACCCGATTTGAGAATTTTTGGGTTGGGGAGTTGTGCTTGTGTAGTAAGGGAACAATCTGGAAAAGTCTGGATGATCTAGGTATAGGGGAAGATCTAGGGAAGTATAGGTCTGTAGTCCCGCTTCAGAGTGGGCGATTTCTCCCAGTAACTTGACGAAGCAACACCAGCAACACAGTCCGCCCGCGTTCACACACAGCAAGCAATTGCTGCAATTTTCCATCATTAAATTTTATTTTTCTTGCACTATGTAGACACCGTTACACACTATGAATGGGTTTTTCTAACCTTCAAATGGTGCTGAGAATACTAACTTGCCTTTTTGAAATGGTTTATCCCCAAAAGCAGTCAATTTTAGACCAGAACCAAGTGTTTAGTTGGCATCACCAAGACGGGGCGTCGCGTGAAAATATTGCATCCCCGATTGGCTGCTGCCACTTTTAATGTCTCTCAGTTGCCCAGTTGCTCGTCCGTTTTGAGCCGGACGCGATCCGAGCAATTCGTGTCGCACTAGGGAAAGTTGGGGAACAACTCGCCAGCAACACCGAAATTGCTGGGAGAGCTGCCCCGTCTGAAGCAGGACTTACCAAGAGTTCCCCAAGACTCCAAACTTCGTCGATTGTCACTGCCCCCCAAGTGAAGTGTTCAATCAGTTTAAGCACTATTTTAGCAAGTCTCGCCCTTGGATGCGTAACTAAGAGTCAAACACTTCCTAGTATGTGCATTATTGTTGACGAGGTCTGTAGTTCCCCGTACTGCTTTTGTTGGGTGGACACAGAGACTCTAAAAATTTCCTCGACAGTTTCTTATGGCAAATAGGGGTTCTTCGAGATTAAAAAGTTTGGGTAACCCTGCTGTGGCTGGTCTCCAACCGGACTGCACGCATGCCGAAATGCACCTGTGTCGTTGCAGAGGACCTGGCGGAGCTGAGGAGCCTGCTTGAGCCCTTGTCCGAGCACAGCACGGACATCCACAACTGGTACAAGGGAGGTCAGGTGCTGCTCAACTATCTGTACATCCTCGACTTCATGGAGAAGGTCCGCAAGGTGAGGACCGTCCGCCAAGTCCGAAGCTGCGTTCGTAAGATTCCAGCATGGAGAGATGTCTACAAACGCTCGTGTTTGAAACGCACACAAAAAAAAGTTATTTTTTATTTCGTTTAGTAATGCAGATTTATTTTATAGAAATCATATTTATTTCTTTTAAATCATACATTCGATATGAATCAAATTTATTCTATATAAATCAGATTTATTTTGCTCAAATCAGATATTTGATTTGAATAAGATTTATTCAATTTCAATAATTTATTTGGTTTAGATCAAACTTGAATGATCTAAAACACTTTAGCTAGAAAATACTTTTTTTATCACAAAAAATGCCTGTTTTTTTTTTTATGGCACCTCAATGTAAATTTTTTCTGCTTGATCATTCTTTTTGCTTTGAATATGAAATAAATGCCTGTGGGAACCAGACGCCGATAGACAGACGGCACATAGAAAACATTCAGTATTGTCTCGAGGACAAGTGTTGGATTTAATGCGTAGCCAAATCTGGGCGACTCGAGTCGCAATTTAAATTGTCTAGATTTTTATTCTCCGCCGAGCTCGCATTCGACCGCGGCTCGTGTACGACGGGACACTGCAGCGGCGTTTCATGGTCGTCGAGGTGCCCGGCGCGCATCCTCCGACCGGTGCATTTAGCGTCCCATCCCACCCATACATCAACTTTCATTTTTCAAACAACTAAAACTCTAAATAGAACGGACTTCAACATTAACTTTAACAACACGTTACCTGGTTTTAAAAGGGATTGTAGAAGTTTCCTGGTTGGCAGTGAAATCGCATTCTCATTTGGATAGTGTATTTCACCAAGAATACAATCACTAGATATAGCTAATTTCAAAGATTTGTTTTCATTGTATTCCTTCATGAGAACTTGCTTGTGATGCTGATGCTGATATGTCGGAGGAGCACAAGATTGCATTCTAGTTTTTTGTTGTTACTGTTTGTTGTTACTGTTTTTGATTTCTTACGACCAACACTCGTTTATAGAGTTTTCTTTAGCAAATGAATATAGTGTCTATTCTTCTTGTTTCTTTGACTTGTTTCTCTTGTTTTATTTTAACTGTATGATGTTTTGTAGAATCTGTTATTATGTAACTACTTTGAGCTGCTGGACTTTAGGGGGCAGAGGCTTTGTCAGGCACCACGCCTTTATCTCTGCCCCCTACGCGGCAAACCCGCAAAACAAATATAATAAATAAAAAAAAAAAAAAAAAAAATAGCGGCATCAAAGTGGTAACAAACGACGTCTCCGAAGCGGGCGCGTCACGTCGCCAGCCATCGCGACCCCCGCAATCGCTGCTAGAAGTCTGGGTGGAAAGTACGAGCGAATATGGACGTCGCCACCGTCGCGTAGTCCCAACTCCCGGCTGCCGAAGCGTTTGTCGACCGTCGAGCCGGAGAGCGACCTGCAGCGGAAGAGGCGTTTGCCACGTCCACTATCGCCGCTGCCGCGTCACTGCCAGGGTCTCGGCCGGCGACAACGTGCCACCCAGAGACTCCAAAGAGGCACCGTGGTCGTGCCTTGCGGATGTTGCGGCGCCCGCTCGATTGGCAGACTGCAGCGGACGCTGGAACATCGCTGCTTGCAAGCGGTGACAGGTGGTGGATCGGACTCGCCGGAAGTCGCGGCGGGTTGACGTTGGGGTTGCATGCGGTTTTCGGCTGAGCGGCCAAGACGATCCGGTGCTAGTGCAAAGCGCAAGTTCATCCACTTGTGTTGCAGGGATTGCGGCGACGGCAGAACGCCGAGTTCCGATTGGCTCCGATTGGAGGATAGTGGGTTGACCTCGTGGCGGCTTGCTTCGAGGTCTACCCACCATCTTTTGGCTGGAGCCAGTTGGAACTCTGCGTTCTGATATCTTTGTAACCCCTGCAAAAGAAGTGGACAAACTTGCGCCTCACGCAGGCGGGGCCCGGGGTGAGGGCGTGAGCGGGGCTTACTTCTACCCAATTTCGTGTTGCAATGTAAATGTTGGGCTGAAAAAATGTTTTGTTTTGTTAGTTTTAACTCTTTCTTCCTCCAAATGCACCAACTACTCTGGTAGTCAGTGTCTCGGTATAAAATTACGCCGGACGTAGTTGCGCCTAATTGCTCTCGCAATTCGTTTTCTGCACGATCGGTGTCTGAATTCCGATTTTGTGAGTCGGTGTTTCTTGAAATTTGACGGTTGCCTCGCGGACGTGTACATCGCCGCTTCGTCCCGTTTTAGGACTCTTTGGAAGGTCTTGTGGTGTAAACAATAGAATCAGCTCTTTGTCCTCGCAGCTGTTTTCTGATGCCTATGGTGATCGTGTGACCTCTATTGAAGTCTGGTGCAAGAAATGTTTTGACACATAAATGTTACGATGTGGTTACGATTCAATCATATTTTGTCATGAACCTGTTATCAGTGTATACATATTGTGGTTGTATTTTTGCCAACATTTGAGGAGTTGCAGCTGAGCTTGTAAGAAACGTGAACCAAAATAATTTTCATTGATGTAGGATTAATGGCCGACATGCACGCGGGCTAACTTTGAAATGTGTTCAACATGAAGGTAGGTTACCTTTGCTTATAAAACATTGTTTTAAAATCTCTACTCTCGTAAAAACAAAAGAAACGTTGGGTGACAATTGTTTCTCGCATTCAGATATTAGCTTCTTGAGTGCGCCTTCGGCGGCAGCCGAGCAGGTAGACATTTCTAGAATTTAATAGGATTCGAATATCGGGAGTATTCGACAGCATTCGAAATTTCGTGAGCTCGCACATGCCCAGTGAACACTGCAAGACCTAACTGCTCATAGGCTTTGTGCCTCTTCGTAGTGTTTGTTTACAATAGGATTCCCGACCAATTTACTTCCAGCACGAAATGTCTCCATACGATCTGGAAAGGATCCGACCCACCATCTTGTCTGTTTGTGACTGCATCGGCTGTCTCAGCTGCAAAACGCCCAGAGACATGTGAGTTTGTTTTTCTGTTCATTTGACTTGAGGATTTTCTCTTTATTGAAGTTCAGTTCTTACAATGCCATGTTTTGTTAAGTTGCTGGGGGGACAGGTGTGCTCAGTATTATTTGTCTGCTGCTGCTGTTTGCTGCAATAGAGCACAACGATGTCGCCCAAGCTTTCCAATAATGCATATAAAGCTTAGGAAGTCGCGTTTTTGGATCTTAACGCTTCCCATCTCTCTCGCTCAGCACCGAACACCAAAATGACGGTGCCTACAAGGAAACTGACGAATGCTGTGCTGAGACTTTGGCGTTGCTTACCCATTTAGTGCCTCTAGGTTGTCGTAGTTGAACCTATTCATTTTTCGTGCTACGTGCTGCCAATTGCAATTTCGTGCTGCCAATTGCAAGCTGCCTCTTTGAGAGGCAGCTTGCAATCGGCTCACTAGCGCCCATCGTTGCATAATGACGTCAAGTGTGACATCATTATGGGAAATGTCCCATAATGCAACACACGGTTACGCCGACGGCGATGCCGCTCAATCCAGAAACAGGCGCCTGAGAGCTACGCTCTAAAATGTGATGAAAGGTGGGGGCGCTCCCCTTTCTGAGTGGATTTTTCTGCTAAAAAACGGCTGGGCATACCCTAGCAACGGTGTCAGCGCGGTGACGATGGGCGCTCATTGGCCAATGGACTTCTTCCAAAACCGACGCGCCCCATCGCGGCGAAATACGACGCAGTGCACTCTGGGAACTAGTTGGCCACTCGGTTTTGGTTTCGACTGAGCAGCTCCATCTCATGCTATCACGCCGCGACCGAACGCGCTGCTTGCGTTTTCGATTATCTGACTTTTCACGAACGTACAATACACTCATTTTGGAGCGATACAAAATGAACACCGGGGCACTTTCCTTGGTTCCGGAAACACCGGATATTATGAGTGCGTATGCAAACGTAGTAAGACGTGGCTTAGTCACCTCACCTTTGAGTTCAATTTCAATAATCAAGTCTAGTAACAGTGAACAACAACTGAAACTTGGTCACCTGGAGCCTTACACGTATTTTGTTTACCAAATGTCCGCTTCTTGTTACTTCATTGGGCGAAAAGCAATCCGCATGCCTCACAGGAGTATCAAAGTTGAGCCCAGCGTTGGCGCATAAACTTTTAAGGAAACGCAATAAATTCGACCTCACTACTGCACCAGAGTTATTATGATGTCTTCCTCGTGTCATCATGTATCTCCCACTCGAATTTTATGCTGATAGAAGATTAAGTTTTCGCAAACGCTGAGATCGGCTAGCTACGACGGAGGCCCTAACAAGCGTCCCCTACTCCTCGCTAAGCCTTTTTGAACGAGCTTTTACTGACGCCCAAGATCTGTGCCTGAACGGTGTGTCTGAAATTATCTCGGCATACTCAGGCAGGAAGAAAGCAAACACATAACAAATATTACTGCCATTAGCAACCGTCAAATGCACTTTGAATAATTTCGTTCGTTTGGCGCACTATAGGGATTCATGCCCGTCCGGCGTACCTCAGGCGAACGGTGCGACGTTTTTCACACAAGTGCTCGACTTTTGCTTTCTTAAAACGGTTTGTATGTGCGAATTTGCGTATACGATTGCAGGATAACGTTATGCGCATACGCAATGTTGAATACTAATAAAATGCAAGTGGGTGGGACTTCGTTTCGTGCAGTGCTGCGGGTCAGTACAGATAAGAGATAAGAAGTGTGTTAAAATTGAGCTTTTCAATGGCGCCTCCGAGTTTTACCTCACGTACTCAGGCGTATTAAGAGAACCGTAATTGCAAAGAGTAATATTTCGTCTATGGACGCACGAAACAAACAAACTTCCTGATCAACAACACTAATGTAAAGGCGCGAGCTCGATGTGTGCATACTTATTGGTTGCGGCAGCTTGTTAATTCGTACTCAAGCAAGATCCCCGAGCTTCGCAGCGTCGACGTTCCCAGCACTGGCTGGTCCACATACCTCGAAACGCTAACAGAAAAGCTCAAGTACAAAAATACAACAAGCATGTGTTAAGACAAGCTATACGTCTCGGGCTTGTGCTAAAGCTTCGAGGTCTGGCCATTTAGGTTAGTTTAGAGACCACAAATGACGCTCTCGGGACCGGAAAACGACGACCTGTCGACGTGTCGATCGAAACCGAAACCCCGCCACTCTCCTTCCTGGCCAACTAGTCCCCAGAGTGCAACGCGCGCCGTGTTGCATGCAGGGCTTTATGGAAGTAGTCTATTGCAAGCCGCCTCTTTGAGAGGCGGCTTGCAATTGGCTGCCTAGCGCCCATCGTTGCTGTGCTGGCACCGGTGCTGGGTTATGCCCCGCCTTTCTCGATTGGAAAAATCGGCTCAGAAAGCGGTGTGTCCCGACCTGTCATCACATTTTTAATAAGGAAATCTGCGTCGCATGATTGTAGTTTTGGGATTTTCGGGATGCTTGGGGCCTGTGGAATCGGTTATGACCAAGAACAAACGATCGCAGAATCATCCTCTTTAGAGCCCCTTTAATCAATTTTTTTTTATTTGGAACTGGGACTTTTTAAGGTGAAAGCCTTATGTCTCATCGTTCGGTCGACCTTCACAGCTTTTGAGTGCCAGAGTATACCCGGACGAGGCACTCGAGGGGTTAATACGCTTGGACACCCGAAGATGACGTCTTTGCCGCCCGCTCTACTTTGTTGTGCCGTACCTTGGCAAACTACGAAGGCTGCTGTCGTAGCGAGCCGATCGCCATATCAGGGAGACGCATGACCCTGCTCTATCTCGCTAGTTGCGCACAGTGCCATCCCACCATGGGCAAGAGAGAGGAAAGCCAGATTCATACAAGTTTTGACCGACTGTCTAATCTCCGAGGGGCACAATAACAACGTCTGGGACACGTAAAAGGGGTTCCGTGCGAGAAGGGAGTTCCTCGTCCCCCCTCTTCTCCGACTGCTTGGGTTACGCTCTCGCCTCACTACCTTTGGTAAGGGCTGTCACATGCTTTGCATTTGTTCACTCATTGGTTCAAGGGGACCGTAGCATTTGCTTCTTGCCAAGTTACTGTGAAACAAAGTGTACACTAACTGCAATTCCTCCTCTCGTCTCCAGGCTCTGCCAGGCGGAGATAGCCAGAAAGACGTCCACTCTGATCCGCTCGCTGACTGGGCTAGGCCGCGGGCCGCTTTACGGTGCCAAGACGGCGGCGCTGCACAGCATCGAGCGACTGTCGATGTCCGACGACGACTGCATCGAGGAGCTCGAGTCCTTGGCGAGGACCTACTCGTGCTCCAGTGTTGCCGGGGTCCGTCACTGATCCCCGAGGCAGTCGAGTTTGGAACCTGGTGTCGCGAACCAAGTCGGACTAGGCTCGTGCGGTCGCGATTGTATGGACTCCGCATGCGAATCGTGGTCGGGAATTGTGGCGATGCTTCCACATGGTGTGTGCCTGTAAAATGGCTTCTTTTCTGTTTATATCTTGAGTTTGAGTGCGTGAATGTGCGTCTCGTTTTTGTTTGCTTTTTTAATTTCCTTTTCTTGCGTGTGAACGATGGTTTAGTTGAAAAGAAGGTTATGGCAGAGTGTGAATGCGTGGGCGATTGGGGTGAGGGTGACGGGTGCAGGTGTGACGGGGGAGTTGGATATCTTCGGCGGCGATGTTTCGAGCTTTGAGGCTCTTAACCATTCTCGGTGGCGACTCGGGGGAAAAAGCCGCACATATTCTGTTGTTCTATTCAGTGAGCTGAACCGACTCAATTGTCGTAATTTACGTCGGGAATTTGTAAGGAATTATTGCCTAGATTTTGTATGCCTGTTAGTTTTCGTTGCTGTAGGGTGATGTTGAGATTTGTATGTTTTAATCAATCATAATGCAACACATGACTCTGCTGCAAAATGTTTTTAGGATAAAAAAAAGAAAAGAAAACAGTAGGAGTATGTCGCAAGCTTGGCTAATTTTATTTATTTTTCTCGCTGCTTATATACACCTGATGCTGGTGTCACCGACCTCTTCGCAAATACTCTTTGTGAACTGAACCGAGTGACCTCTTAACAGTAAGACCTTGATCTTGAGGCAATTTTTTTGACCATGAATAACAAGACCTCTAAAAACCCTTATTCTTTTTCAGAGGGTTTTGTTAATAATTGGGACAGAAAGTTGTACAGTTTAATGTTTTTATTGACCGGTATCGAGGTACTGCTGTTAAGTGTCCATGAAAAGGTAGTGACGTGAGCATCAGGTGTATATAAGAAGTGAGAAACATAAATGAAAATGGCTACGTTTGAGAGCTTGCCTACGCGCAAACAATTTTTTTAACGTTACGATCGCTGCTGAAATAGAGGAAGGGTGTGGTGGGGAGTCTTGCTTTCGCAATTCCTAGGCAGTTTGCTGCCTACTGTACAAAATTTCAGTGTAGCATTATCATGTGTGAGGCTTTACATGCACGAAGCTAAAATAAAGGAACTCGTGTGAGGATTGTACATTTTAATAAATAAAAACACTATCCTGCCTAACATTTTTGTTCATAGTTCCTCCATGACAGGGGCTAAAATTTTTTTTCTCTCGAGGTAGGTGTCATCTGCTAATGGGACATGTTGGCGACATAGTGGGAGATAACTAGCGGAGTGCCATTTGCTTTTGCATTTTACTATTCATGATTTTGCCGGATGACGTTGCTTAGAACATGGTCGGGTCGTACGATTTTCGTGCATGGTTGACTTGCTGTCGAACACTAGGGAATGTGTGGAGTTTCTTGTCCTCTGATAATGCCTTGTGTATGAGTTCTCCATTTCCATTTGTATTTCTTTTATGTTGCTTTACATCAGTTTTATCTGTTTTATGATTCGCCTGAATAAAGATCATTCGTATTTTAAGTACTTGGTGCGGGTAGAGTTGCATTCTCCTGTAGTGCTGGCTGAGCAGTGAATCTTCTCAAAATAACTCCTGAAGTTTTACAAGCTTGCTGAGTACCAGTATAAAGGGTGGACTAATGGCATGCTGGCCTTTTCAAAGGGTCACATAAATTGGATTCTTAAGATTGCAATGTAATTTAGCACAGGTAGAATTAAGTGGTCTATTTTTTTAGTGTGTTTGAAGATATTTGGAAGTTTCCCCAAGTGAGAAAGGAAGGAAAAACTTTTTTTTTTTTCGTACTAGCTAAGCCCAGGTTGCATGAAACAACCAAAAGACATGGACCACTGTGGCACTGGAGTGAATGTGTTGTCAGTGGAGTGAACGCTGGACAGGTGACTTTCTCTCCAGCGTTCACTGTGTTAAAGCTTCCCCTGAACTTTTAACCTTTCTCTTCCATGTAGAAATTTTTTTGGCACTTGGGACGTTTAGAAGTCGTCCATACATAAGGGCCTTTATCCACCCTTACACGCAACTCTTGGAAATTGGCATATTTATTGCCTCAAACAAAACTGCCTGTTAAAAAAAAAGATTTTGAAGCGAAAATTTTGTGAAAATGTGATTGCCGCGTGCGTGGTGAAGTTGGCAACGTATGCAGCTGCCACGCGGAAGAACGAGGATTGAACCCCGCTCAGGCCTGGTTCTTTTCTTTTATGAATCGATGTTTTTGAAAGTTGCAGCTCATTCTTGGCTGTCGTCGTGTGTTCTGGTTCTGAAACTCCTGGACGTACCGCATCTATAAACGGTTGCGCTGCTTTAATAAGACAGTTGCCCTTCCGATGCAAGATGCGTAGTTCCTTTCTTCAAGTTTGTAGGCATAAGTTTGCTTAATTTAAAGTTTATTTTCTGTTGTACACTCAATGACTTCTTTTTTTTTTTTATCTGAAAACATGAAGGTTGATTAGCACTTCGAAATAGCACCGGAAAAGCCGACGACTAATGTGCCCTTTCGTGAGAAATATCGCCTTGTTTAGTTCAGGTGCACTCTGTCCTCGCTCTTCTCTACCTTTATTTGCTTTCCTGTCCAATATAAGCTGAAGTCCCTTAGACAAAGCAGTCTTCTCACCTTTTTTTTCAAGCTCCCAAAGCATGCCATAGGTTGGTCATATTCTCCCTATATAGACCATTCCTGTCTCCTGCGCACGCCATTTTTGTCTGCTCGGTTGTGGAACGCGTTCTAGGCGTGCTCACTTCTGGAGAATATTGGATGCCGCGCAATCCTACTTGCAACTTTTCACCGGGGTGATAAGTGCCGGAAAGGCATATATTCAGGGATGTAACCAGGGTTCTCACTCTGGGGAAAGGAGGAGGGAGAGGTGTAGGTTCGAAAAATTCCGTGGGGGTGTTGGACACAACAAAGTCACTAACTTATTGCAGTGATGGAAGTGCTGTGCCGTTTGCTCCACATTGCGCCATCAACGAAGGCTGCTACATCTTGCGCCAAAGGGTTTGCTGAGATCGGCTTAAGGGCACAGGGTAAGTCCTATACTCCCCATGCATTTGAGGCTATGTTGAGGAACATTTTTCTCGGTGACTTAGGAGTATTCCTGTCATGTAAATATCATTTTGTTCGAAATATTGTGTTTTATCCACTGAACTAGAATCATTTGAACCAATCTAAAATAAGTTTTTTTTATATTTCTTTTATTCTAGTACTGAAATTTTAGTTGTTTTCATCTATTAAAAACTTTATAACTCAAAAACTGCTAGGTGCACATTTTTAATTTTAGTTCAGTATTTTTCAACTCCCATGTATGTGGTAGGAATAAAAAATCAACCCTCTATAATGTCAGGTTAAGGAAAAAACAGGGTTGCCAGGTATTTGAACTCCAACCCGCCAAACGTCTACGAGATATAGCCCAAAAATAGCCAAATGTCGATCCAGAAAAATAGCCCAAAAATAGCCCCCCAAAAAATCACAATTTGAAACGTTTATTTTGAAAAGAAAAGAGACATAATACAGTTTTATCCATCGAATGCCCCAGAAATGGCGTCCCTTGCACGTTCGGCGAACTTCCTGAAACGCTCGTACATGCGCATGACAACATACCTTCCACTATATTGGGACGCTTGGTGACCAGAATGACGTCAAGGGAGAACTATGCAGAATTCATAGCATCCTCGATCATCCGCACCGGTGCGCACCGGGGCACTGAGGTGCGCCCCTTCATCTTCGATCAAGTGCACCGGTGCGCACCAGACATCCTCGATCAACGAAGCGCACCCTCCCGGGTCGGCTTTTCGTTGCCCCAACGCGCACCAAGAAAATCGGCGGTGCGCCGGGGGGCAGTCCCATCAGGCATTGCGGCCAGGAGCGGGAATCGAGAAGATGGCGGGAGTAGCAGACGCGCAGAATACCGAGATGGCGATCTTGCAAAAACGAACACGCCTCGCAGCTGCACTAGATGATTTCCTCGGGTCTTCTGACGGCGAGACGACAAGCTTCTCGCCATCGCTGTGATTACTGGCGATTGCTGCGGTGGCAAGGAGCGCCCGGAAAGCACGAACTTCGTGGTAAGCGGCGCGAGGCGTTTCGATGACAGCGAGGTACGGCTATTATCTGGTGTTTCGTTTTTTTGAACCAATAATGATGGCCAACATATACACGTGGAATTGTCACCCTCTTCGTGACCCCATCGACAATCACGTCCACGATGTTTATTTCTGTGGGACCGTCAAATCCTTGAGTAAAAGAATAGAAGAAATTGACAGCAGACGGGCACCGTGCGCTGACCTGCGCAAGAAAAAACGAACAAAACGTGAAGTGACGCAAGGTGGAGCTCGCCGCGGTGCACCGGCGCGGCGCAGTTTGTCCTCGATGTTGCACCGACATCGCGCTGCACGACCGAGGAGCGCTGTGCACTGTGCTGGTTTCAGGGCGATTCCGGTGCGAGTTGATCGAAGATGCTATCAGACAACCTAAAGAATGCGCAGAACAGGTGCTGTTAAGGCCTCAAGGAATCGCGCCGTCACTTGTTGAGATGGAGGAATAACAGCACATGCTTGCATTCGGAGGTAAACAATTGCACAAGGCGCGCAAAAAGAAGACGAATTTGTTTGCTGTTGCAAACTTGTCAGGGTTAAGGGACTGAAGCGCCAAATGTTCACGTGACTTACTTTAAAAATACATTCGAACCTATAAAGGCATTTTGGTTCCAGCACAGGTCAGAAATTGCTCAGTGCACAGGTCAGAAATAGCCCAATGCACAGGTTAGAAATAGCCAACTACCATTTTTTCCCGCCAACTGCATATAAAACTAGCCCAATTTGGCTATTTATAGCCCAACCTGGCAACCCTGGGAAAAAATGGTACCTATGTACTAAAAAACACTGTTTTGAGATAATTGAGTTTAAAGTAAAAGAACTGGTGAATAACGAATTTCTATTGGCACCAACAGCCTCAGAGTCATTTTTTCAATAGCCGCCAGCTTGAAAGGCATTGCTAAAGTCATGTCGTCGCCTTTAGGCTTATCGCCTTGCTTGGCGGGCCTCTTTCGTGACCTGCCACGTCGCTTGGTCCGTAAAGTATATTAGAGTGACGTCAACTTCCCTCAGCCACTTGATGGCTTTCCAAACAGGGTTCCATCCACAAAACTTCAAAACATTGGCTTGTGCAATGCTGCCACCATTGAATAAAGGAACAGCATGCAATGGCGCCATTTTGTGGTTACGAAAACACAAACGCTTGAATGTACACACGGTACACACCTGGGAAAAACGTGCACAGCTTCTCGTGATTGTCTTGGTTGAAATAAAGCTATGCAATAGTTGCAAAATCATTTTTTGAGGTTATCTGTTACTGGACAAGCTTTTAGGTCTTGTGTTGATTTTGTTTTGTTGGAGAATTCATCGTTTAGCAGGGAGTGTATCCCAAAAGGAGGCGTGGTCACCTGCTACTTGCTTTCGGAAGAAGTGATTTTCAGCCCGAAATATAGCTTTCTAAAAACACTTGGACAATGGAAAATGTGCAGAAAGAACTAAACTTTTCAAATTGCGAAAAAAACTAAAATCGAATTTTTTTTAAAATTTTACCTTACCCTGTGCCCTTAAAGGGACACTGACACCCCCCAAAATTTATTTTTAATTTTTTGCCAGGCGCTTCATTATGGTGTCGGAGGACTACCCAATTAATATTTTGCAACAGAGTACCGTATTTTTTTAATAAAGCCAAAAGACGCAACTGCTCGAAACCGAAACCGAAACCCGACGGAGGTCGGAGAAGTGGAGAGAAGAGAGTGGAGTGGCGGAAGTCACGTGGCTGCACCCGACCGTGTGTTTTTTTTTCTTCTTTTTTTTTTCTCGTGTTTTCTCCTTCCCGGTAGCAGACGACATGCGGCGTATGGGAACTGCTCGCCGTGGGATTCTTTTGCAGTTATGTTTGTTCCGCTCGTTGTTCTGTACACCAAGATGAGTTGTTTTGTACATTGAGGAGTTGGAGATGAGTAGTGAGTGCCCGTGGTGAATTTTGATCGGCTCCGAAAAGAATACACCCAAGATGTTGCGTGAAGAGCTGGCTCACATGTCCCGCGTCCGAAACAGAAGTGGCATTGTGCGACAGAGTTTCCGAAAGATCAACGGGATCGGGACCAATGGCTGGCTGCAATTCCTGTAGACCATTTACGGGCACCTCGGGAAGCGGACGGTACCTGATTTATATGCTCCTTGCATTTTGTGGAAAGTGATTACATTGAGTTCGCAGGTGTCAAAAAGGAAATCCCATACCATTTAATTCAGCGACGTGTCGTCCACAAAATTTGTTTCTTATTTTTTGTTTTTGTTTCTTCAGTAATAATTGTAAAAAAAAAAAAAAAGAAATGTAGACATCAAAAGTATTTAGAAAAAAAAAAAAAAAAAAAAAGGGTTTCACGGGGGATCGAACCAGGCTCTACCGCGTGTGAAGGGGACGTCTTTCCCACTGAGCTACTGGGGCATATCGAAAATGGGGGATCTCTTTCCTTAATAA